ACCATTTTACTGTGTTTTCGGAAAAACCGAGGCAACTTATTTTACTAAGCAGGATGTTGTGGTCTACTGTATCAAAAGCTTTGGACAAGTCAAGAAAAAGACAGGCGCAGTACTGCTTATTATCAAGGCTACTGTAAATGTGATTCAGAGAGTCTAATGCAGCAGATGTGGTGCTGTATTTTTTTCGGAACCCAGATTGTTTTAGATGTAATAGATTGTTGGCGGACAGGAAACTGCTAATTTGGTAGGCCAATAATTTTTCAAAAATTTTCATCAACGGGGACAAAATTTAGATAGGTCGGTAGTTATTTGGATCATCTTTAGGGCCCCCTTTGTGAAGTGGACGAACATAGGAATGTTTCCATTCTAGAGGAACTGATGCTTCTTTGATGGACAGGTTGAAAATATGGGCTATAGGTTTGTATATTAGGTGACCAACAGTTAGTAGAGCAAAGACGGGAATACTATCTGCTCCGGTAGAGGAGGACCCTTTGAGGTAGGACAGTTGTTTCAGAACATTACTTTCGTGGATTGGCTGAAAACTAAATTCGCTTAATGTTTGGACAGGAGTGTAGGAATTTGCATGAGCAGGGGTGACTCCCAATACATTATCAAATAGGGTACCAGCTTCAGAAAAATGAAGGTTAAAATTGTCAACTATTTTTTGGGGATCTGAAAAATATTCCCCATTTCGGTTAAGCTAAACGGGCAGATGATCTGTTTTGGATGGCTTTTCGATACATTTGATTGTTTTCCAGAAAATCCTGGCATTTCCATGAGATTCAAGGAGAGTGGAAGAGAAGTAGTTATTTTTTGCATGCCGTATTTTTTTGACGCATCTATTCCTTAAAATCCTGTATTCTAGCCAGTCATTGACCAAATTACTTTTCTGAGCACATGCCCAAGCCTTGTCCCTAGTTTTCATGAGCTTTGTAATCAAAGGATCAAACCATGGTGGACGGTTGCCTTTAGTTTTAAATTTAACCAACGGAGCATGTTTGTTAAGAATTTGGAGAAACGTGTACCTGAAGGTCTCCCAAGCCGTAGTCAGGTTTGGAATATCACAGACCTTGTCAATATCCGAGTGAAGCACATCATTAGTAAATGCCTGAGTGCTGCTGCTGCTCCAGAGATGAGACCACTTGGCTTTGCACCGAGACGTCTTGAGTTGAACTCCACCGTGAATGCGAGGATGACTGCAGGCGGTGTCTTCACACTATGGGGAAGTTGAACAATTTTATTCCAAGATGAATACCGGTACATTCGAGATGAATTTACTGAATCTTCACTGAGCGCTCGCCTACGACCATATCACCCTGAATACGCCCGATCTCGTCCGATCTCGGAAGCTAAGCAGGGTCGAGCCTGGTTAGTACTTGGATGGGAGACCGCCTGGGAATACCAGGTGTTGTAGGCTTTTAGAAACTTTTTGCGTTTTCGTGTCTCCAGGGGGCGCTATTTACTCCACGTTTCACGCGCACGAAGCCGAACTGGCGTTTCAATGTCTGTAGGGGGCACTGCCTGTTCAGGGTCAAACTCTTGACTCCTTGGGATTCCGAATTGGAATTCATCAGGTTTTTCTTTCCTTAGAGTTCTATGTTGAATTGCATAACCACGATAAACATGACAGTGGCTTGTGGGGAGGCCTTCATCCGGCAGTGGATTGACCAAGAGCTGTTAAACAAATGGAACACGGTCACCCCGAGTTGGCAGTGCTCCCCACAGACTTAAATATGCAAGTTCCACTCTGTGCGTGTCGCTCACGCAGAGCGGAGCTGGCGGGTTCTCGTCTCTAGTGGGCACCGCTACCTCGCCTGGTCATTCCGTGTCGTGCATTGCAGAGTTTTGTGCTCCACTTGGACCCACAGCTAACAGAGGGGGCCTTGCACGTGAACGTCCCACAGTTCACCAGAATTCACTCTGTTAATGAGACACTGATTGTCAAAACCAGCCCAGAGTTTGTTCCTGTGGTCAACCTTTGCTAATGAAACGATTCACACTCAGGTCGCCTGGCTGATGGGATGTGTAAAAAAATACTCTTTATTTTGTGGATTTCGCGCTCAGTGGATTACCGCTGGTGCTGACATGAAAGCATTATCCTACAATGCATTGTGCCAAGGATAATTTCATCATTTTACTTTTAATAAATGAGAATGATTTATTAGTTATTATTTTGATTGATTGAAGGATGTGTGACTCAATCGGAACTAATAGTTCAACTGTTCTTATGGCAATAAAAAAAAACTGGTCATCAAAATTCATAGTTTTTAACATATTATTCAGGTCCCATGGTGTAAATAAGTGCAAGACGCCAACTCTCATTCCCCACCATCCCCTCTTCAGTGGGCAGTGCACAACACCCGCTTGTTGCACCCCACTTCTATGTACAGAGATCCCCGCCCTCACTAACCCCCAGGGACCAGCGTGGACGCGCGGTCAAATAAGCCCCATTACCCACTCGGCATGTGGAGGCTCCTCATCCAGCAGTGGATTGACAGAGGGCTGTGAACGTTCAATGAGGCAGCTCTAAATAAATGTTTTAGCCGTGCGCCAAAAATAAAAGTGACGTCGCAAACCCAAAAACTGACCAGCGTGGCGATATATTGTTAACGAAAACTATAACCGACGTGGTTTGAGCAGACTTTCATCCAGCAGTGGAATGACAAAGGCTGTAAAATGCATCTGTTGTCAGCTACTCGCCGAGGTAGCGGTGCCCCCGAGAGACGAGAACCCGCCAGCCCCGCTGTGCGTGAGCGACACGCGGGGTAGACAGCGCTCCCCCTGCCGACGGAAAGAGGCAAAAGCCGAGAGCAAAAAGCCTACAAACACCTGGTATTCCCAGGCGGTCTCCCATCCAAGTACTAACCAGGCTCGACCCTGCTTAGCTTCCGAGATCGGACGAGATCGGGCGTATTCAGGGTGATATGGTCGTAGGCGAAAGCTGAAAGGAGATTTAGTAAACTTACCTCCAACGTGAACTCTTCCGGCTGATACAGCGAGTAAATGTTACCCACAAAACTCGTGTTCACCACCAGCTGCAGATCGCGACCCCAGAGCTCACTTCTGCCACTGTCAAGACCACAGCCCTTAGGGCGCCGTGGCTCTCAGCGTCACGGTGCAGTGAAGCTGCCGAGCTGAGTTAGAATCCCGGGCACGGCTAACATCGGTGGTGTCGAGTGATATCCGAACGAGGTCAGCCTCTCTCCACCCCCACCACTTCACCACCAACACGCACCGTCCACCAGCGTGGTGAAGTATGCTCAATCAACCCCCAGGACAGACACGGTTTGTGAAGGTCTTCATCCATCAGCGGATTAACAAAGTCTGCACGTTTTGGTTTAAACACACACACACACGTACTGTACGTAAATATGGTGACAACTTTTACTCTGAGATAGCTGCTCAGAACTGAGACGTTGCTCCAGAGCTGAGACCACCACGTGGGTTTGCACCGAGACGTCTTGAGTTGAACTCCACTGTGAATGCGAGGATGATTGCAGGCGGTGTCTTCACACAAGAAGTTAAATCACTTTGTCCAAACTTGGGACACAACTAAGTTAGAGATGAATTTACTAAATCTTCACTGAGCTTTCGCCTACGACCATATCACCCTGAATACGCCCGATCTCGTCCGATCTCGGAAGCTAAGCAGGGTCGAGCCTGGTTAGTACTTGGATGGGAGACCGCCTGGGAATACCAGGTGTTGTAGGCTTTTTGTTTTCGGCTTTTGCCTCTTCCCGTCGGCAATGGGGAGCGCTGTCTACCCCGCGTGTCGCATTCCGTGTCGTGCATTGGAGAGTTTTGTGCTCCACTGGGACCCACAGCTCACAGAGGGGGCCTTGCATATGAACGTCCCGCAGTTCACTCATTCTGTTGGTGAGACACTGATTGTCAAAACCAGCCCAGAGTTTGTTCCTGTGGTCAACCATTGCTAATGAAACGATTCACTCTCAGGTCGCCTGGCTGATGGGATGTGTAAAAAACGACTTTTATTTTGTGGATTTCGCGCTGTTAAGTGGATTGTGGCTTGTGCTGACAAGAAAACATCTTCCCGCAATGCATGTGCCAGCAGAATTTAATCGTTTTACTTTGAATAGAACATTTGTACGATTTAGGAGTTATGCTTTTTTTAGTTAGAGGATTCGTTAGTCAATCAACTATTAGCATGCCAATTCCAAAACGGGTCATCAATAATAATAGTTTTAAACATGGTACACCATGGGAGGTGTAAATAAGTGCAAGTCGCCAACTCTCATTTCCCACACCGTCTCTTCTGCCTCCCTGTGTGCTCTCGAGGAGGAACATTGCCCCAGAACATCGCTAAGTGTACACTTTTTCTTTCAAGGCCACACACATCCAGTGTTATTGAGGAACTTGTAGATTTTTTAAAATTATACACAGTACCCGAGTTGCGGACGGGCCCGACTTACGGAAATCCAAACCTTACAGAAACTCTCCCATAAATCGTTGCAAAATAATAAATTGCGCGGAAATCTTCTTGTTTTTTTCGGTAAAGTCACGTAGGGAAAAAAATGTTTATAAAAATGTTTTTTTATTATTTAATTAAAAATAAAAATTGTATTATTATTTTTTTCCCTTCTATGTGGTTTTACCAAAAGAACCAAGAAGATTAATCCCTGCAGTCACGAAAGCTTTAAATCGAAAAATGCGCGGAAATGTTCGCGTTACTTACGCAAACGCAAGTAGCGCAGCGCGGTGAGGTTGCGGCTTCACTCGGATTAAAGTAATTGTAATTTATCTTGATTTTGGGGAGCGGGGAAATCGTCCAGTTTCCAACATACGGAAAATTCGGGTTACGGATCGTTCTCGGGAACGTATCCCTTGCGTAGACGCGGGGACTGCCTGACGTCAACGATTGGCGGAGCGGCTGCAGACGATGCCACGAAACCCAAGAATCTCAGCGCGTGCCCACCGGATCCACACGTGACCCGAACGGCGCCCTCTCATTGGCCGGCGGTGGCTTTTGGGCCTCGCGCGGGGACTTTTTTTTTGCCTCCATCTTGACGTCGCGCGCGGGAGATGAGCGACACGGAGCTTCGCGTTTAAACAGAAAAAAAAACAATTTTGTTGCTAAAACAATCAAAGAGAAAAAAATTAAACCACGAATATATAAAGAAAAAAAATTACAATACACGAAACTCAACAGAGCGATTCGACGAGCGTAGCGCTGACGGCCCGGTACGTGCAATGATTCGATTAAACCGAGTTTTTTAAAATGTTCCCTTAAAAAAAAAAGAGATTAATACACGTTAGCTCAAGCCATCGATTTATCGATTCAATTAACGCGATTATTCACCCGAGATCTTTCGTCTTATTAATTCGTTCGCTTTGATGATTCGTACGGAGGATGGGAGGGGAGATGCTGTAATGTGCAGTTCGTGGTATTTTGTTTTACGACTGCGTCGCTTGTTATTTGCTGAATGCCAAATGTTGGGGCCTTGTGCGGCTCGTGAGATTAACGCTCGCTCGCTCGCAACTCTTGCAATTTATAACTTAAATAAGCAACGCGATCAAAACCTACGCCGGTTTTAAAGCATCAACAATCTCTCCCGAGTTATTTGCAATCGGTTGATTTCAAGCTCGCGAAACAAAAACACCGCGTTCTTTTGATTCAAGAGTGTGTGGATTTGCTTAGCCGCCCGGTGGTTAAATCATTTGTGGTGAAGTATGGTCAAAGTGAGACTCTCACGACGACCCCGCCACGTGTGTGGTGAGGACCTTCATCCAGCAGTGGAGAGACTCTCCCCCCCCCCCATACGCTCGGGGTCATACTAAACATTTTTTTAAACTCCTAAATTAATTCTAGATTTGAAGCTTTCGTGACTGCAATGATTCATATTCTTAGGTTGTTTCGGTAAAGTCACGTAGGTAAAAACATAAAGTAAAATTAAAATAAAAATCACGACGTTTCGGAGGCAACACAAGCTTCCGTCTTCAGGTGGAACCGTCACAGCCACGACAGCTGTATCAAGTAAATGAGAGATTGCAGGAGCTACCACTCTGTTTATATAATGGTTGGAGAAAATTAATCTTCTTGGTTCTTTCGGTAAAGTCACGTAGAATGGAAATAATAAAATAATAAAAATAAAACATTTTTATTTCCCTTCTACGCGACTTTACCGAAAGAACCAAGAAGATGAATCCCTGCAGTCACGAAAGCTTTAAATCCTAAATGAATTATAATAGATGATGTTTCGGGAACTAATTATAGCAGAAACGTCATCTATTCTATTTTTTATATTTTAAGTGAGTGGTATTGACCAAGGTGTTGAGTTTTAGTTATCTATTAATGCACCACTGCGAACTCAGTATCTCACACTTGTTTTTACTTAATTTTAACGCATTTATAAGGCTACTGTAACCTCACTGGAGCTCTTTGGCGATCAAATGTGAACGACGCAAATTTATTTGTTCATAAGGCCATTGAGTGCACGTCGGCTCAACCAAAACACGTGGACATTCCCGCCCAGAGGTTTTGCTTTCATTTTGTGTAAGAGAAGATATATAGATCGGGTAGATACGTGTTAAGTGAAGTCGAGCAGTCTTTGACACTTGATCCGTGTTCCTTGTTGGACGTTTTCCTTGCCGCATTTCACTCGTATAACTGTGCTGCACCATGTTGCCCTCTGCTGTAGCATCGCCCCTCCCTGCCCCGCGTAGGACGACTGCTAACCACCCTAGTGGCTTGCCATTACCCTCGAGTCGTCATGTCGAAGGACGCCAAAGCGAGCGATGCTGAGGCTGGAGAGAAGGTGGCACCCCCTTCACAGCCGGAGAAGGCAGTGGAGACCGAGGTGAAGGAAGAGAAGCATAAAAAAGATACCGAGGAGGTGAAGACTGATGAAAAGAAGGAGGTGAAACAAGACGAGAAAGAGTCTAAGAAAAAGGTGCAGGCGAAAAAGAAGGGGGAGAAAACGAAGAAGAAAGAGGAAGGGGAGGGGGAATCGGACCAGGGTGAGGAGAGTTCAGAGGAAGAGCTAAAGTGTAAGTATTCCTGTTGATGTGATTATTGTGGAGCATGTGAAAATACTTTTTACATATTATTGCGGCGGAAAACAGAGCAAGTTCATCTTGTCTAAAGACCCAATCAGAGACTGCTCTGCAAAATGCCCCATCAGATACGGTTGATATGATTATTGTGGAGCATGTGAAAATATGATAATTGGTTTTTTACCCTTCTATCTGGCAACAAAACTGACACCTTTTTTACAAGGAGTCATGTTTGCATAGACCACAATACCTGCAGTCATAATGCAAGCAAAAAACATAACTCTGATAATGTATGCACTGTCCTTGAAGTTGATTGGTCCACACCCGAGACAGCTTTCCTTAGAGCCTAGTCTCACATGGGTTGAACCAGATGACGCCAAATGGCAAGCTGTCTCGGGTGTGGACCAATCAACTTCAAGGACAGTGCATACATTATCAGAGTTATGTTTTTTGTTTGCATTATGACTGCAGGTATTGTGGTCTATGCAAACATGACTCCTTGTAAAAAAGGTGTCAGTTTTGTTGCCATATAGAAGGGTAAAAAACCAATTATATTTTTTACTGGCAAATGAGGTTCCGATGGTGCACGTGAAAATACTTTTTACATATTGCGGCTGAAAACAGAGCAAGTTCATCTTGTCTAAAGACCCAATCAGAGACTGCTTTGCAAAATGCCCCATCAGATACCGTTGATATGATTATTGTGGAGCATGTGAAAATACTTTTTACATATTATTGTGGCTGAAAACAGAGCAAGTTCATCTTGTCTAAAGACCCAATAATCAGTCTCTTGTTTTAGAGACCCAATCAAAATAATGGTGACCATCTGCGTGCGTCGTGATCACATCGATGACGATCGCGTTGGTTCTCAACTTTGCCGCGGGCCCCTTGTTCTCAGTGGGGCTACTGGAGCGGGACCCTGTGGTGAAGGAGGGGAAGCGAGAGAAGAAAAAGGTGGAGCGCCTCAGCTTCCAGGCGCCCAAGTCCAAGGCTGAAACGCACAAGATAGAGGAGGGTGAGCCCTTGCCGTTGCACTACCCTCGTATTTCACCGTGCTCTTGAAATTCGATTGGTTCAGTTTTTCTGCATTCAATATTTGTACCGTGAATGTTTGTTGCTCGGTATTTCATACCTGTCAACCCTTTATCAGTGCTTACCTTATTACAGACCAATTCAGACCTTATTGGTCACCCCGTGCCCTTATACATTTCCACGTTCGTCCTACAAAGTCCCATCACAAGGGAGAAACATCAACAAAAAAATATTGCCCGTATTGAAACGGCTGTACGCCGTATGGACCTGAAAACTCTTATTTCCCTGTACAGGAATATGGGTAAACCGTATCGGTTGACAGGTATGGTATTTTCACTCAGGTCTCACCTGCTTCTGCGCAAGTAAAGTGTATTGATTGAGTTTTATTTAGCCACGTATGTTGTCTAATCATCCTGTACAGGCTTATGCATGCATGATAAACTAAAACCTTTATCGTCAAAACGCTAGGTACAGTGCTGGCCACACCACCACTTGGTGTACCGTCCCAGCCTTCAATAGGTTGCTTGTTAACAGCACTTGTCCCAACCACCTATATTGGCTACATGGTAGATCTTTGATCATGTGGCAATTGCATGTTCCATGTGTGCTCATGCAGGCACAGGAGAGCGGCTGGGTGAAATCGAGAGGGTCAACTTTTTCATGAATAAAATGAAGGCTGATATTCTGAAGCCACTGCACAAGGTTATCTACAACCGTCCAGGCAATGTAAGCACTGTCTCCTTACCATGAGCTATCCTGTGGTAAGGAACACTCTTTACTATGATATATCCCATGGTAATGAATACCCTGTTTACCCAGGAAAGCTGTACTGAGTCTCATTACTTTTTTCAGGAGGGTCCTCGCCAAGATCCTTCGAACAAGAAGCAAGGGTAATGAATAAACTCCTAATTTTAATCGTACCCTGTGACTTTTTATTACAGCTTACAGAAGTCAAGAAGAACATCCGTCAGTTTAATGGCTTCTCCTTCTCCAAGGACAGCGATATATACAAGCGCAAGGAGGACTCAATCAAGAAGTATGTTAAGGGGATTTTACATTTTGTGTGTAGGCTGGTGGTATATGTGTGTCGTACATCTGTGTTTGTAATACGTGTGTGTTGCACTTGCAGTGGTGATTGCTACCTATCTTGCGCTTGTTTGTGGAGTGGGCATTACGTGGAACTTGGTCTGAACAATTTTATGCTAACACTGGCACTGCCTGCACATTTGCGCCAGGTGCATGGCCGGCCAAAGGGGTGGGTGGGGGGGGGAACACATGACATCAGCACGATGCATGAACCCGGCTCAATGCTGTAGGATGCGGGTGATGTCACCACACACACGTGTGTGGTGACATCACCACCATGCACTTTCCCACCCACGCACCAGCCAGCCAGCAAAACTTATTTTATATACAGTATGTTGTGGCATTCTTTCACGTGGACAATATATATTTAAGGCTGAGTTAACTTCGGGACGCCCCATCACCAGTTGAGATGTCACTTGACACATATGCTAACAGTGGATGGGAATTGATGCTGACTAACTGCAATTGTTCAAGTAATATTTATGGCGATATGGGTATGTTTGGGGTTTTTTTTGTACGTGTTTAATTGGTATCGCTGCACCACTGCAGGTACCACAAGGACGTGCTGAAGGCTAGCTTCTGTGATGTGCTGGACTTAGAGAAGGGAGGAAACAAGGATGAGGTCGTCGCGCGCATAATGGAATTCCTGCTGCAGCCCAAGTCTTCTGGCAAGGTGCACGTTGTACACACATTTGCACGCCTGTGGAGTATATGGGTATTGACTCACGTTTTCACATGAGCCATGAAAAGGTACACATGCCAACAATGCCACCTAATTACCACTAAATGGCAGCAATGGCAACATAGTGCTCACCGTCTAAATTCCTAGGAGCAATTTTGCTGACCCGAATTCTGATGTTGAATTCAAGCCAAGTGGAAATATAAATAGCTTTGAAAAGACTTGCATGATAACTAGAGTAACCTGGACATCGTCAAAGAAGCGAGGTTTGTTGTTTGAATAAAGTGGAGCTATTTCCTAAATAATACAATTAGACAACTGAAATTCCACAATCGTCAGCGTATAAACTCCATGCAGAATACTAAATTCTGCAAACTAACCTCTTAGGTGTTTTTTTTAAACAACACAATGACTCTGATGTAACATCTCTGCCCTCTGGTTATGTGGTCCGTCAGTCTCTGCCAAAGTCGAGCCACAAGCGGAAGAGCTCTGGACGGGGCTCAAGAGCTTCGCACTCGAAAAAAACTCCCGGGTCAGCTGGCGGCAAAAAGAAACGCAAGGTGGTAAAGAAAGATGATGAAGAGGTACCCTCAGATTCCAACTCGAGCAATGATGAGGAAGAGGAGGAGGACGAAGAGGAGGAAGAAGAGAAGGAAGAAGGGGATGCAGAGTCGAGTAAAGATGAGGAGGAGGAGGATGAGGCTGGAGAGGGGGATGGGGACGATGAAGATGAGGTAAGGGGGAAAAAGACCTTACACCCAGGGCCTCTGACAGAAGTGTTTGTTGAATATTAATTAAATGTTCTTTGGGTCTTTCGGTAAAGCCACGTGGATAGAAAAATAATAAAAATATCACGACGTTTCGATTGCAACACAAGCAATCGTCATCAGGTGAAATAAACTCCTTGAATTTTTTTTTTTAAACAACGGTTTTATTCACAACTTTGTTGAACTCGCCCTCGCGAAGTACGTCAATGATGCAGCGCCTGCTCCCACATCAACGCTTACCTGAAATAATTGGTTAATTTATAAATTAATCTTCAATGTACAACTTTTTGTGTGTGTGGAGTGATGGTGCCCATAACTCGTTCACACGGAGCAGGCGCGCCTGAGACACGCGGCGCCTGCTTTTTGTGCGAGGCCATTGGACAGTTTAGGGACCGCGGCGTTTTTGACCTACACAAAAATATATAATTAATAAGGCGTCCATACTAAAATTGTAATTGCTTGAAAGGAGCCAATTAATTGACGAATTGATGCCGATTTTGATACAGGCATTATCACCGGATCTGAGTACGTGTGCAAATTTTCAATTGATTGGACAACAGGAAGTAGACAAAATTTTGATTACAAGATTTGACCACAACAAACAGGAGTCAAGTTAAATAAAACCGTTGAAAAAATATATATCTACGTGGCTTTACCGAAAGCCCCAAAGAATATGAATTCCTGCAGTCACGAAAGCTCTAAGTCAAGATTTACTAATTAAAAATTGTGTTTATTATTTGGATGTGTTGATGTTAATGTGACTGCCCCGTACACCGTATAAAGGTTTTTTTGTATGCCGACAGTATGTAATTTGACCACAATCTAGTTGCGGTTGATTTTTCACTTTGGTATTTTTCCCCTTTCACAGCCGGCCCCAGGCTCAAGCCGTAAGAAGGGGGGCGGCCGGGCTACCGGTGGAGCCAAGAAGGCTCAGGGTGGAAACAAGAAGGCTCGGGGAGGGGCTCGCAGAGTCATCTCCAGTGACAGTTCAAGTGACGGCGAGGCCGATGAAGAGGCCAAAGAGGAAGAGGAGGGAGAGGACACGTCCAGCCCAACCTTAAAGGTGGCACCCGTGGGGTTGCGACAGAGCTGTGTAAACAGGGACTTGAATCTTTTAAAAGTGCGTGTGTAAGATTGTTATAATTCATGCTAAATGCGAGCTGTGGGACCAACACACTCCACATCAAAAAGTTACGCGAATGGATTATTCATCGCATGACATGAAACCAAGAGCACAATTAGGATAAAGTTGAGGGGAAAAGGTAAATGGTAAGAAAACATCCCAGTGCAGGACCTTCCTGCAAAAGTTTGAGCCCAAATAAGGCCTTCCTGGTTAAACAAAAGGGCATTCGTTATTTTGTAATATTTGTTTCTCCACAGGAAAAGGAGTCCTCAAAAGGGAAGAGTCCGAAACAGAAGTCGCAGACGAAACGGAAGAGGGCCGACCTGAAAGCGTACGTGAAGAAGGCAGACAGCAGCACCAATAAGAAAGCTGCAGCACCCCAGCCTAAGAAGAAGCCAGGTATGCCTTGTACTGCATGTCTCCTGCGCATTTGACTTGTTTATCACATATTTCCAGTCTATTTTTAAATCCTTTATATTAAGTTCACTTGCTTGCGCGCTTACAACCGTGCAAATCTTTCGGTCGTTTTTTAACCCACTTCCCGTGATCCAATCGAGCTGACATTTTCCACACAGACTCGTTGTGTGTGACAATTAATTTTCGTGAAAAATTTTTTCCTAAATTTTACACTTTTTAGGAATTTTTTAAAAATATTTAATTACCAATTGTTTAATGGTGGCAGGCAATCATCTGACCCATAGGTGGCAGCCATCTCAAGCCAGAGGACGAGAGGACTCTAGCCGCCACGCATATAAAGGATTTATAGTGAAAAACTTTGTTTTTACGGGTTACCTTTACGCTACCTTTTACCTTACCGCAATACAATCACTCTACCTTTACCTTTTATCCTTTAGCAAGGTAAGGTAAAAGTTAAAAAGCAACGAGTCTACCCTTACCCTACCTTCTACCCTTACCCCATACAAATGACCCGATTACAGGGTAATTACCGGGGTACTACACGTGAAAAAGGTTTATAAATGCGAGGTAGAGCGCTTTATTCGTATCGAATACTCTCTAATCGGGCGTTGAGGCTGTCGACGACACCGTCCTCCATAACCTCATCCCAGTCGTCTTGGTCGATGACGATCTCATCAACAACCTGATCAAGTTAGTCATTGGCGTCGTCCTTGGACGAACGACGGGCAATAAGATATTTTGCCGCTCCGGCCCGGTTAGACGGGACCTTCAGGCAGCCGGCTACAACCTACGATCACAAGCACATGGACTGGATGAATGAGCGTCGACGACAGCGACTGGCAAACGCATGTGAACTCCCGCCTGGCTCCGCTATTCGCGCGTTCGCAGAGAGTTGACGTCGCCGGTGCTCCCAAGTAGTCGCAGGCCATCTTGTAGTGGGCGTGGAGCAGATCTTTGCAGGGAGACCACCACTGCATTACGTCAATGAAGGCGCTGGCGGTCGTGACGCCCATGCTCAGAAAACGATTGACTTCATCTTCGATGGAGCTGCCGACGTTGCTGAATAGGGTGCTGAACAGCGACCCCTTCTCCATGTGGGCAGCGACTGCCGTCGGTGGGAACGCGAGCACGTCCAAGTAGCGATGCTGCAGGACAGAGCTGGATCGTGGCCTTCAGTGTAGCTAGCTCGTCTTGGTCTGTCGTTTTCGGCAGCTGTGGATTCAAGTAGGATGCCACAATGGCAGGGTTCCTGAACCAGGAAGTCACGGTACCAGCACCAGCTCAGCCTTCATCTCGGGTCGACGGGCCCTCGTATCCCTGCGTCATGTGTGGACCAAGGTCTTGAACTTGTCGCTGCCGGCGGCTCGCAAAGAGATTGCACCTTGGATAACAAAATCAACCAGCCGCAGTTCTGAAACTTTACCAGGAGGCAATCCGGGATTGCTGGGTGGCTCAGCATTTGCTGTATTAGGCGGCTTTCCACCCCGACTGTGTTCGTGTGGGAGAAAACCACTTGCGGCAGTCTTGGTGACATCTCACATCATCGGCCACATCACTGACCATGGCTTGTGGTGGGTTTTTCTCACCTTAGGGAAGCAAAATGTGTGGGCAGCAACCATTTTTAAGGGGCCCGAGTATTCAGTAATAAATGTCGAAAATGGTAAATTCAGCGACAACTCGTTCAAGGACTAATTTAGACACTAAATCTGAATTTTAATTTGTATAAAACTATCAAAGAAGATTTTATACATGTCTTGTCTGCTTAATCCATCCCCATACACATGCACAGCGAGTGGCGCTGGTGATGGTGCCAACTCAGACTGGTCCGACAGCTCGGACGACGAGCCCCTGATCAAAAAGACAAAAAGGCCGCCGTCCGACGACGATCTGCGTCAAGCCGTGCGCCTCCTCCTCGACGGAGCCGACTTGGAAAGCGTCACCATGAAGCATGTGTGCAAAGAGGTGTGTGGGGCAGACCGGGGCATGGGCTGCAAGGGAAGGGTGAGGGGGGAGTTGGTGATGATGGCTAGAAGGATTTGATATCGGGAGGGCATGGGGGAGGATTGGGCGTTAGAGGATGTTGAATGTGATGGCACTGGTGGTAGGTGGACGAGAAGCTGTGAGTGGGGAAAAAAAGTTTGGGAGGAAGTGGGTGGTGAAGGAAAAGGAAGATAGTGCACTTAAAAGGAAGGCGCACTGGGTTATGGCTCACCGTGACATGAAAAGATGCAGATTATAGTATGATGACAGAGAGATAAACAAGAAATATAGATGAGACAGCTGTAGACAGAAGATAGAGGTTATTGAGGTTATAGCAAGATAACAGATGAGAGACGTGGAGATGAGACGTCATAACATATCTCCATGTGACGTAAAGTCACGTGGCCCACGGGAAGTCATAGTTGAAGAACTCTGGTATTGGTTAAGGAAGCGTGGGAGGCATTGGCCATTCTAGCTGAAGGGAAATTGACATTTGGGGTGTAAAGATGCATTGATTCATCAATTAAACTCGATTTTCACGGCAATGGTTAAAGGAAGATTTTGAGGATACTGTGCTCTAGTGTTGGATATATGGATACACCGGGTACGGAGGACTGCTAGTGTTGTAGAGGGGAGTACGAGAGTTGTGCCTTGTGTTCTTGTGTCACATGGGGATGTGATGGTGGTGTCGTACTGCCAGGTGTATGCGAAATTTCCTGACTTTGACCTCACGGAGAGGAAGGACCTCATTAAACAGGCGGTGAAGGAGGTAAGAGATGCAAACACGGAACCCATTTTCAGACTGGTGTGATATGCATCTGTATGTGTGGTGTGTGGGAAGTTAAGCTCGGTGGCATAGTTGTAATGCACACTACTGTACAACTTTTGACAATGTTTTGACAAAGTGCTTCCTTAACACCTGTCCCTAAAATCTTGGCCTAAAAGTGTGCCCTGTTTGTGTGTGTGTACGCGCATGCGTTGCTATGCTCACAGCTCATTTCGTGAAGATCAGCAGCGCACTCCTCCCCCAACGGGTATGGCGTTTCTATACCTCGGCATTCCTGAGCCCCGGCCGGCATTCCTGAACGTGGCTCTCGCATCCTTCCCCACAGCCCTCAGCGGGCTGTTTTCACAACAGTCCTCGGTATTGATTTACTGTCAATAATCAATGAGATCTGGGGAGAATAACACGCCAATGAAAACGGGCATACAAAAACATGAGGTCTAGTTGTAAGTGGTGTTAGGGATACATAAAGGCCAATCTTAAGGAACTTTAGGATTACTTCCTATCCAATCCAATGTCACAGATGTATAGTGATTAATTGTGGGGCAAAGTTTGACGTCATATTTGATCATCGGACAAGCCCAGTGTCCATAAAGCCCTACTCGGAGCAAGTATGGGTTCATTTACTTTTGGGTTATGAGACAAAAATCGGGTATAATGTGTGTTTTTTAAGATTATCACAGTGTGGTATAAAACATTTTTCGTGAAAAATTTGCATAAATTGATGTTGATTTTGTTTATCGTTTAATGGAAGGGAAGCCTGAATGGTGTTTTGTATAATCTTGGTTGTTTCTACACAAATAGGGATTTAAACATCTCACGCATGGGTGATTTTTAAATAAAGTCATAGATATTATTTTTTAAGTAGTGATTCTTCCAGTTAAGTCTGAGCAGGGGGTTGGGAGGGCTGGTGGAACCTTATTTGTTACCAGTGAGACCTTTTTTTTAATGTTTATAAAAATATGATTACCATCAGAATTAACAGGCGTCATGACAGCAGCCAATGGAGCTCCAATCCCATGTGGAATTTTCTCATCTGACCTTTATTTTGTTACAGAGCACGTTCTTCATGTGAAACACATGCATTACCTTTATTGAATACGTTTCACATGACGAGAGCGCCTTTTAGACATCCATACTTCAGAAATGTCATTGTATCTGGACAGTTTGTTTGAAAACCCATCGTCTCGCTCCAATTTGCCTGGTGGCTCAAGACATCAGACCACTAAGCTGGGAATCTTAAGATTGCTGGGTTCAAATCTGGGAAGCCTTTAAGTATTTTTTTTTCATGTAAGTTGTGCCAAACAGCAGGGCCATTAAACTAAATTCATGTTGTGGCCACGATAAAAGTTCGGCATACACAGGAGAATGCCTTTAACTATCTAGACCTGTGTTCAACCAGTCGTGAATTATTACGACATGCTCACACAGACTTTCAGCCCATGGAATGGAAATATGGTTGGCAAAGATTGTTTGACTCCAGTTTATCAATTTGAGCTATTGAAAAATATTGCTTGGTTCCATGTAGCGTCATTCATCCAAATTGCGTCTCACAGTTCCTAGAGAGCCAAAGACAAGCCAGAAAGCAGCCAGGTGGTGAGCCAGCACAAACAATTACCCCCAAGCCCTACAATCTTAAAATGTTTTCAGCCCATTAATGAGTGTATCTACATGCGGGAAGAAACTGTAGCAGCTGGAGAAAACCCATGTGCGAGGGAGCAACTGTCCCATACAGATGGAACATGATATCAGTCTGCATTGTGTGCTTGTCTTCTCCTGGCAAGCCAGAGTATGGCTCCTCCTCTACTTCCCACGGGAAGAGAGATTCACAAATGGAAATTGTATATTACAATGCAATTTCACTTATTTTGAAATGTCTATTTCCCGAAGATTACAAGTAATTATAACCCTTTACCAATCCACTGCTGCATAAAGGCTTTCCCACACTCTGTCACAGGGGATGTTTGAACGTAATTCACCGTTGTGCTCCGTGTACATTGGTGAAGAGGGGGAGGGAGAGTTTCCAGGGCCAACGAAAATATCACTCGCCACTAATATTTAGCCGTGGCTGGGATTTCAACTTGGGTCTCTCGGTTTACGGGACTCGTGCACCACCAATCCACCTTGAAGATATATAGGACGAAAATAAAGGCGTTTTCTTTCATGGATGCCTCGCAGTATTTAAACATGCTTGGATTTGTTGCAGAGACTCTGCAGACTCACTTGCAGCCGATGTTAAAAGCTCAACTTGACACAAACTGCTAACGCTAATTGACTCCCGTTTCCATTTTGAGGTGAGAGCTCTTGAGCTATGCTAAGTTAATCCACTGCAGGGGAAGCTTATCAGTATGACCTCAGGGTGTCTCGCTTTAGCCGTCTACCCGCTCTAACTTTTCGCTGGAGGGATGCATGCCGGCATGAGCCAACTCAAGTATTTAGCCTGGGTTAGTGGTCACACGGTCAGGTTGATATAATTGAATCTGTGACAAGCGTCCCCATGATTATCTTGCTGATAACCAGAGCTCAATAAGGTTTGTCTTTGTGAATGTAGGCTGTTATAAATCGTATACATGTTTCAATAGTGTCACATAAAGCACACGAGGTTTTGTCCCACAAAAGTTTGAAATTCAACTCTTAGAATTGATTGCAAATAAGGGTGTCCCAAAAGCAAATTCTGTCACGTCTGTGGGTTATATTTTGTAATTTTTTTTACTCCGTTTTAACAGATTAGCGTGTGTTTAGGCGCTATCGATGTTTCCACCTACTTTTTTTATGATGGGAGATATGAAAAGTGGGTGTGGTTTTGAGCCTGTGAAGGAAGGCGAGTCTGGAGGCTGTGGTGCAAGTTCTCACTTCCGCCTGCCCTATTGGTGGTAATGTTGATGTATTTGCGCATGTTTTTATCTATTTTGTGTCCGTTTTCAATAAAATTTCTGAACTTAAATATTTGTGCTCCGCATTTCTTTCAGAGAGATCATCAAGTACATACATCGTATTGATTTACACAAGCGTGCTGTTTGAATAATTAATACTTGTGGAACAAATGCCCCCCTACATCTCAAGGCCCTCCCCTGCAACGAGCTCTAACGTGATTATACTGGTAGGAACCTCCTGGTTACACCAGCCCACAGGGGATTATTGTGTCCGTCGTGCAGGGAGGAGCTGGATGGGGAGGGAGGAGCTGGGTGGCGAGGGGAGGGTGGGACTGGGTGAGGAGGGGCTGGTCACCATGTGGTGCCCTTATAAAACTCAACGTTTAACCTACTCACGCCGGCTTGTGCCCGTCCTCACAGTCGGGCATATTTGCGGAATACACCACGCCGCCGTTGACCCTGGCCATTGACCGAGCAACCCAACGTTCCTACCAGCTCCCTCCGCAGGAATGTGTTATATAACGTTCATGTATAGTATATCAGACATTTAAAGGAACGGGTATACAAAACCAATATTCATATACTGGTCTGAATGCTGGACTTGGGAAAAACCATGGAGCAGATGTGCACCATTGACAGGATGGGAGATGTATTTCAGGTATACAAGGCTGGATTGAGTAAAAATTCAAGGAAGAAGGGTTTGTGGTACCCGTCTCACACAAGCTGAATGGTACAGTCGTTTATTCAAATGAAATGGGAAGATAGGTGGTGAATAGGAAATCACCAGGGTAGAGACCAAGGAATCGGCCTAAAATGAATGTAAAACTTCTGTCCCACCATACGTAGCCAACCGTGTTCGTCGGAGGTGCAGGAAGAGGCGGTTTCATGTGATGGAGGACTGCTGTCGACATGGTGATCATGGCCAGAACAGAAATTGGTGAAAAAATTAACCCGTAAAAACTAAGTTTTTCACTATAAATCCTTTATATGCGTGGCATCGGTTTTATTTTATTATTCATTTCTGTTTTTCTTGAGTAAGAGTTTCATTTTTATCACATTGGTATTTTAAATTAAATATGAAAAAAAAAATCCTAAAAAGTGGAAAATTTTGGATACATTTTTACACGAACATTAATTGTCACGCACAACGAGTCTGTGTGCAAAATGTCAGCTCGATTGGATCACGGGAAGTGGGTTCAAAAACAACCGAAAGGTTTGCACGGTCGTAAGCAAGCACGCAAGCAAGCGAACTTAATATAAAGGATTTAAAAAGAGCACTAGGGAGGCAGATTCCACATGAGTGGAAAAAATTGGGAAAAAATGATGACGAGCACACGTACAATTGTATCCCAATTGTGCTATCAGGATGGCCAATGGCCAGGAACAATGACAGCCAAGGAATGAAACCACCAAGAGAATCTTCTTGGTTCTTTCGGTAAAATCACGTGATACGTGACTTTACCGAAAGAACCAAGAAGATGAATCCCTGCAGTCACGAAAGCTTTACACCAAGAGAATGTCTACCGAGGTGGAGTAGTTAAATCAGCTTGTGTACAGGTGACTGGTCGAATACAGTATTCCATTTCAGAATTGTGAGAGATGGTGCTTTGGGAAGCCTTTAGAAGTGAGTTGATCGTGGCTGATGATGATATGCCATGGGTGTCACGCTACGAGATGAAGCATCCATTCGGATTTCGCAGAGCAGTACAACATCTTCATGTTCTTAGGTTTTTTCGGTAAAGTCACGTAGGTAAAAAATACAATTAAAAGTTAATAAAAGTAATAATGGAAATAAAATAAAATAATAAATCACGACGTTTCTGGGGCAACACAAGTCTCCGTCATCAGGTGGGACCGTCACAGCTAAAATTACTGCATTAAGTATTACTTTTATTAACTTTTTATTTTATTTTTTACCTACGTGACTTTACCGAAAAAACCTAAGAGTATCAATCCTTGCAGTCACGAAAGCTTCAAATCTAGAACATCTTCATGTTCGACAACGGTCCGTCGACGCGGATGTCACAGAACTACCCATAAGGTCCCTTCGAGTGAACCTCTGGTCTACAAACTATAGGAGCAGCACTCTTGCCCTGCTGCAGAGAATAATGTTCGTCGTATGACTGTCAAAGCAATATGTCTTGAACTCGTCGCTGCTGGCGGCTCGCAAAGAGATTGCACCACCTTGGATAACAAAATCAACCACCGCGTTCTCAAGTTTTACCAGTAGGCGATCAGGAATTGCTGGCCGGCTCAGCATTTGCTGCATTAGGCGGCTTTCCACCCCGACGCGTTCGTGTGGGAGAAAAACCACTCGCGATTTCACATTTGGGAGCCCCCTATACCAATACACTATGTATAGTAATACTGTAATGCTGTTTGATGGCACGAGAGTTCTGGACTTTCACGGGAATGCATCACCCTGCCTCCCAGCTGCCGTCCGTCCATGACGCAAACACCCGTGTCAGTGGCATGACGCGTGATGCTATCTTTAACACCATTACTCCTGGGCAAGTGTTGTTCTTTTACGAGATATATTTTAGCAGATGTCATCATCATCATCAATAGCAGCAGTTGCCATTTTCTATCCACTGCTGAATGAAGTCATCCCCCTGTTGACGCGGCGATGTGGTAAGATCTCAAAATAGCGCCGAGTTGTGAACGCTGTTTTCTTTTACAGACTTCCGTTAATCCGCGAGCTGCTGGATGAAGGCTTCTCCGCGTTGGTGTGTCAGTCATGGGAGTTGTTTGATCACATCTCTCTCTCTCTGCTGGTCTTTGCAAGTTGGTGTAGCGGCTGTGGGTGGGGGGGTGGGGGAGAGCCCAGTAACCGGTTCAGATATCTCTCGCCACTGGTGTTTGCCAAAACGAACTTATTACTGGTAGGAACCTCCTGGTTACACCAGCCCACAGGGGATTATTGTGTCCCTTCTGCGTGCAGGGAGGGGCTGGGTGGGGAGGGGCTTGGTGGGGAGGGGCTGGGTGGGGAGGGTGAGAAGGGGCTGGGTGGGGAGGGTGGGGCTGGGTGGGGCTGGGTGGGGAGGGTGGGGCTGGGTGGGGAGGGTGGGGAGGAGCTGGGTGGGAGGGGTGGGGCTGGGTGGGGAGGGGCTGGGTGGGGAGGGGAGGGTGGGGAGGGGCTGGGTGAGGAGGGTGGGGAGGGACTAGGTGGGGAGGGTGGGGAGGGGCTGGGTGGGGAGGGTGGGGCTGGGTGGGGCGTGGGAGGGGTGGGGCTGGGTGGGGAGGGGCTGGTCACCCCGTGGTGCCCTTATAAAACTCAACGTTTAACCTACTCACGCCGGCTTGTGCCCGCCCTCACAGTCGAGCATATTTGCGGAATACACCACGCCGCCGTTGACCCTGGCCATTGATCGAGCAACCCAACGTTATTTTATTATATTATTTTATTTCCATTATTATTCATATAATTTTATTATTTATATTTATTTTGTATTTTTCCCTACGTGACTTTACCGAAAAAACCTAAGAGTATGAGTATCAACCCAACGTTCCTACCAGCTCCCTCCGCAGGAATGTGTTTTTTTGTGGATTCAAAGCGCAGTGGGCCAACCACTGTGTCACCGCTCCCCCGGCTCCTCTCCACTGTCGTAAATTATGAACGAGTTGGGTGTTGACACTTAGTTTTTACTTTTGGTATAAAACCTAAACCCTAAACACATCTCTTTACCAATCCACACTGACCGGCGTGGTGAAGTATGGTCCAGCAACCCCATGACCGACACGTCGGCTTGGGGTGGCTTGCTACCTTGACAAAGGGCTGCGGATTAACATAATATACACCTATAGACAAACCAATTACCATGGCAATATCAATATCGCTGGATCTAGTGGTTGTGCTGTATAAGCGCTCCAATGTTTTTGTCAGGTAGTATACCACGTGCTGTCCGACATGATGTCCAACGTTTCCCCCCACGTGCTCCAATCATGATTAAAGAAGCTCCAAGCAGGTGGAGCGAAACGTCGGACATCATTCCGAACAACACGGGGTGCAACCTGAACACACATCGAAGTCTAACTTTATCCCCTATCTCCTACCCATAGGAATGTCTCGGCCAATGTGTCTTGGGTACACTTTGTAAATGTGCACAGGCCCTCCCTCCAGAAATCCTCAACCCAGCTCCCTGCACTGGGAGGATGAGGCTCCGCGCTGATTGGAAAAGCTGACAGACCGGAGAGTGTCACTTGAGGTGACCAGTTCTGGTGTTAAGGAGACCCCCTTGGGCTTGGCTGAGGAATCTCCCGTACGGCCTGCCTCTGTGGTTAACATGCACGGGCAGCTCTTTTGTCAATCGACTGATGGCCATTTCTCGAAACGTTGCCGATTAAACAATTTTACTTTTCAGGCCACAATGTTGTTGACGAATGTTTTGAGTTTTTTGTTGTTACGCACGCTGGTTAGTACGGGTTGATGGAGGCGGGGGGGGCGTACAACGATGTATTTTATTCGTCCCCACAACCACATTTGACAACCTGGTGGGCATGACGATTCATTCCAGCGGTATACACGCTTAGCCCTGCTTAGCTTCCGAAATCTGACAATAACGATGGCCCACCTGTGGTGGCTATCCACATCTCGAATCCAGTACTGGAGGCAAGCCTTGGTGGATCACACAAAAGATGTGGTGGATCACACAAAAGATGTGAAAGTTCATTCCCGTGGGCATCGATGAAGTGCCATTGCCATGGCTCGTCAGGATAAGTCAGTACAGCAAAATGCAGACAAATAGCATGTTCAATCGGTATGCGATAGTGTTGCCACCTCAAGCGTGCGTTTTCTCCGGGTGCTCCGTTTGTTACCCACATGCAAACACTCATTAACACCTTAATATACAGAGGACCGCAGAGCTTGGGAAACTCTTGGCGCCGGATCACTGCGTAGCTGCTGCCTTTGCCTCTTGTCTGTGGTTTCTCTTTGCGCCTATGAGTCGTTCTGTCTGTGATAGTGAGTGAATTCTGTCCGACAGCACGTTATGAGTTGAAATGTATTATTATTCCGCGTGATGTAGTCATACATTGATGGTTCCGGTCAGCATCTGCAGGTTATCACGATACTTTAATCCGTTTATTTTTTTATATATTTCATTTGACCTTCCTTTATCAACAAGAATGAATTTACTCTCGCCTACATTCCTCGCCAAGGTGTTCACTAACAAGTTTCCACAAACAGTTGCCGAATCTAGCTCCGCAAGTAAAGCCTCGCGGCTTCGGAGGTGTTTTTACATTCTGATACAATGTTCGAGAGAGAGGCCAATGATTCAATATGCTAAATCCTCTTTTACAACAATATCACGTATGGAATACTCTTACAAACTACGCCATCCCAAACCTGACTTTAACCCTTTCGATCGCTTACTTCAACGGTATACGTGGGGTTTTGTGTTTTTAATAAAGGGCAATAAAATCGCATGTATTTATGCCCCATCGATTTTAAACGACCCTTTCACTTTCGTCTCAACAGCCGATTAGATGTTGTGAAAACGATGCTTTCCATGTCTTACAGAGCTAGAGGCGCGAGAAGATTTAACGTGTGCATTGAGATTGGTGGCGGGAGACCTGTGGAGGCTTTGAAACGAAGACACCGGATTTCCCTCCAGTGTTGTTCCTCCAATCATTGTTTAAGTGGCACATCTATAAATGTATCACCCTGTGTGTTTCGAATACTGACATGTTATGGATACAATAGTCACGACGTTTTTTTTAGTATTTAATAGTGATTGAACAATTGGAATATTTTGTTCATAATTTTGTTTTTTAATCGCGTCTCAATTTTTGTATCGTTACATTTTTCTATATTTTTTATTTTGTGGTCTCGCTGTGATTTTTATTTTATACTTCTGATCTCCCTTGATTTGACTGCCATCGTCTCTTCTCCCCAAAACGACGTCCATTTAGATGGGAGAAGCCATCCAATGGTGGCGTGTTGTAGCCGTGAACATCCTGGGTGCACTTTGTAGTTTGCTGATGCATAGGGGAGGTGTAGATAACGTGGCAGCCTCTCTATATTTATCCATGGCAGATGCATGCACGAGCGCCTGGGATGCCACACCGTCCTATATTTAACCCACAGGCCCAAAGGCAGCCACAGACACACGGGGGCCGCTGCTGCACTTGAGGCTGCTCTGCTCTCTGGCTCTGTAAGTGTTTGGCAAGCTCGCTAAAGGCCATGCCGCTTGATCTCATGATACCCGAATGACAGTTTAAATGTTCACTTTGCCTAATCTTGACAAAACTAAAGATGTGTGTACATTGGTCTTATTTTGCTAGAATACTTGGTGTTTATTACGGTTAAAAAAACTACTATGAAGGCTTTGGAAATTTAATTAATGAAATAAAGTAAGCCTAATAAAAATGTATTATCATGTGAAACCGAGACGTGAATTTGCCTTCATTTGTTATTTACATACATTTGCAAAAGGGAAATGTTTTTATATTCTTTGGGTCTTTCGGTAAAGTCACGTATATAGGTTCAAAAAAAATAACAAAAAAACTACGACGTTTCGATCGCAAAACAAGCGGTCGTCATCAGGAAAAGGATGTTTTTGTTAATTATTCTTGTAGATTAAGCGATGTCTTCTACTTTAAATGGGAAATCGGTGACTTGTCCATGTATCGGTTAATATTTTCCTGTGTATCCCAATCAAACCAACTGTGTAGGCAGTGTATTCCATATAAAATATACTCGACTTATATGAAGATATAACTATTCACTCGATTTGTCTATTAAATATGAGTTGTATTTAATATTTTATGGATAATTGTCTAACAATAGTTTATTGTATATGTAATCGTATTTAACGGTTTTTGTGTATTCCTGGTAAGCAGAATTGGCTAACACTATCAGCGAAACTGAGGCAACCGAATGAGTCAGAGATTCTCATGCTTTCTGTACCTTTCGCACCCTTGACACGCTGATAGGTTGAGCGGTGATACACGAGAAGAGGCACCATGGTGGTGGGAGGCTCGTCCGAGCTGAAGATTTCCCTCGGGGATATATTTAAGAAGTTCAACCGCGCACCCATCACGCAAGGGCCATCCTCACAACCCACGTCCCCCGGCACGAGAGACGAGCCAAGTGGCGCGGAGGAGACTGATGGGAAGGGATCACAAAGTCGGCAGGATGATGACCCGGGTAATGCGAACGATCGGACCTGCGGTGCTTCCGAGAAGTTGCAGGAAAGGGCGGTGAACGGCAGAGTGGTGGAGCGAGGTGCACGGCAGGACCGTTGTGTCCCTGACAAGTCTAGCGATGCGCAACCAGAGTGCGAACTGAGGCCGGCTCAGGTGGATCAAGCAACGGAGAGGAGGCGGAACGGTGAGGTGATCGAGCAAGGTGGAACGTTGGGGAGAAGTAATGTTTTAAACAAGTTAATCAATGATCAGCTGGAGAAAAAGTTGAGTTCAATTCTGTCAGAAAAACTACAACAGAGGATGCAGAATGGTGAGGTGGTTGAGAAGGGTGGAATGTTGGAAGGAAGTAATGTTTTAAACGAGTCAAGCGATGAGCAGCTGAAGCAAGAATTGAGTTTGACACGGTCAGAAAAGCTAAAGGAGAGGAGGCGGAATGGTGAGATGATTGAGCAACGTGCATTGTTGGAAGCCAAAGGTGTTTCAATTGAGGCCAACACAAAGACCGAGAAGCAATCCCATGAACTAAGTTCAGGTCAACGAGAGAAGCCATCAGAAGATAAAAGACTTGAGAACAAGGCCTGTGGTGAATCTGGGGAGAATGGAGACAGAGATATTTTAAATATGTCAAATGGCGACTTGCCCAGTAGTGAGGTCAAATCAACTCTGTTCGAAAAGCCATTGCAGGATGATAAAGCAGCAGACAATGTTACAACTCAAAATGACAAAGAAATGCGAGACCTTATAAACAAGTTGATTTTGAACCATCGCAGCGGCCAGGGGCTCAAGCATGTAGGTCTACAACCTCAGCAGAAGCAGCCAAAACAGCAACAACAGCAAGGAAAATCCAATCAGATACATCAGCCACATGGAAAATGCCGTGTAGTTGAGCCAGCAGGTAACCAGGATGCTGCAGCAGTTTCAACTGCTTCTGCAGACTCTCCTCCCGACTCTTCAGAGTCTGTCGACTCAGATGAATCAGCGCAGGAGGATTCGACGCGCAGTGTCGTGTGGAACGGGGTCATGGAAGAATTACGAGATCGCGCGGCTGCAAAGAAGGCTGCGAGCTTCCGTTTGATCAACAGGTCGAGTAAGTCGAACCAGCCTGCGATAAAGAGACCCAATCGCGGAGCAAACGAGCTGAATGAAGGACTAAAGTCAAACACAAGCACTGTACAGCCTACCTCTGATCCATCAGCTAACACCAGTTTAAAATCTGAATGTTTGGAGCAGCAGGTTGGGAACGCTGAAACTCGTGCTGATGGCACCAAGCAATGCGAGTCTTCGTCCACCATCGGCCGGATTGCGACCTCGAATGTGTGCAAACCAGAGCAAAAAAAACCTGTACCAAACGGTTCAATAACAAAGCAAGCCTCCACTGTTGATCTATCGAAAGATTCCATCAATCCTCAGGCAAGTGTTGCCATCAGCTCCCGCAATTCAGAGCCTCCTCAGCCGGATCAACAACAACCTGTGCAACGATCCAGGCGACGTCAATACGGCATCAACAAGGGCACCAATCTGGCGTCTCAAGACCGTTCTGCTGAACCACAAACAGAAAAGCCTGTTAGTATGAGCAAAACATTGGAGTCGACCCAGCTGGAGAAACCACTGCGCTGTGAGACCACCGGCATTTGTAAGACTGATCAATGCTGTACGACTGAATCTCATAGCCCCACCAAACCAGCTTCTGCCCGTTCGCCAATCAGCTGCCCTTTGTTGCAATCCGCCCCTCTGCAACATCTGAATAAGCCCATTGGAGGAGATCGACCTGTAAATGCACAAGTTGAGAACCAGGCGATCGGTCCAGTGACGCCCCCACCAACGAATGAGAATACACTGTGTTCTTCAAAAATGGTGATTACCCTGTCGAGTGGATGGGGCAAGACGAGCTATGAGTCGACCCCGGCGAACGCCCGACACTTATCTCGCAGCACTTCACAGGTGTCCATCTCCCAGAAGACCTCGTCAGACCAAGGTGTTCATTCAGCTATCCCACCAGCTTACTCCAATGGCACCCTCAGCCCGACCGAACGTGTCCCAGTGGGGTCCCTCCAAACGAAGCGAGACAGGCCCAGTGATCATAAATCCGAGCCAAAGCAAGATACCAGTGGCTCCAAAGAGGACATGAATGATTCTAGGAGACTCAAAGAGGTGTCAAAACTAAGCTTCAATGTATCAGGACAAACCTCGCCTACTACTAGCACTGCAGGAAAGACCTTTAAGATATGCAATCCATCGACAGATGCATGCCAAAGTATAACCGCCAACATAAAGCTGAAAGAGTCAGAGAATGTTTATGTGGAAGTGAAGAAACCTGTCACCAGCCCATTAGCTTCCCCAATCTCCGGTGAGGTGCACGTTGTGAAGAAGGACTCAGTCAATCGAGGACCAACACCAACTGCAGTTACACCCAAGCCGGAGAAATGCACTCCCATGCAGACTGCAAAGCAGCTTAGTCAGCTGAACGGGGTATCTGCTGAGCATGACTCCACCATCATGACGGTCGTGGAGGATCAAGAACCATCAAAAGCCCATAGCATCCGAGACGACCAGCTTCAGAGCAATGGGGTGGTCAAACAGGAATTGAAAAAAGTCACTCATTCGGACATACAACCAAAGCAGGAGCCCCGTAAGTCCCAAGGCGCAACAGATATAGGTAGCAACAAGAAAGGGATGGACTTGGAGCCCAAAGGGGGTTCGCAGCAGCCAGTGTCAGCAGCAGCAGCAGGTACTAGTAGACGCCAACGGGTCCCTCTCAGCAACAACAGCAGTAGCAAGGAGTATGGTGTCGGTGGTCCGCGCGTCCCGCCTGGCTCGGGTGGCTGTGTCGGTGGGCTGCGCGGCGCCTGGGAGCAATGGTCGGACGACTACACAGAGAGGCAGAAGTTGAACCCATTCAGCCAGCGCTTCGACATGGAGCAGGCGCTGTCCACGCTGCCGCAGAAGGGTGAAGAGGGCTACGGGAGGCCCAAGGAGGGCACGCGGACGGCCGAGAGGGCGGCTCGTGCGCAACAGGACGTGCGCAAGGAGATGCTGGAGATGTGCTACCTCATCCGGCGCATCGGTGAACCGGGAAGCGACGGGCGCACACAGGTTGCCTTTGGGCGACTCTTCCACACGTACGCCCGTGTCTCCGACAAACTCGTGGGCATCCTGCTGCGGGCTCGCAAGCATGGGCTGGTGAACTTCGAAGGCGAGATGCTGTGGCAGGGACGCGACGACCACGTGCAGATCACGCTGCTTTGCTGACCACGTGGTGGCGCGAATCAATGCGGCACAAAGAAGAGGGGTGGGGCTTAAGGAGGCTGTGCCGCCCATATTGAGACGGTGGTGTGATGTCCAGTTGCCACCTGTCCTGGTTTTCCCGGGATTGTCTTTTTGTTTAGAGATAGAGTTAGGGCTGGGAAATATGTAAATCTTCCCCAGACGTTAAAATTGCATTGTAAGTATGATTTCAATTATCTAACCACTTTAAACTAGCGTTGGTGGATCACGCTTGAGATGGAGCAATAAAAATGTGCGTTACGCACACCTTCAGGGAAAAATAAGGTACATATAAGGGGGCAGTACAGCAAATAGGTATGATATTGTGTTGAAGGTTTGTAGGTGCAAAATGTAATAACTTTTCACATGGGTTATTATTGTTATTTTAATTCAGGACGCTCAGGTTCCCTCTGCCTCCTCGGCCACGAAAACACCACAACCACAAAAGGAGATCTCACGTATTACTAAATCGCTCGATCTTGTCGGATCTCTGAAGCTAAGCAGGGGGGGGGGGTTCGGCCTGGAGAGTGGCTTTTATGGAGCGACCACCACGGGTATAAAAAGGTGTCACAGGTTGTCGTGGGTGCTACTTGGGGGGGGGACACATCCCCCCCCCCCCCCCATATTCAAATAATCTCAAAATGCCCCCCCAATATATTGCTATAAAATAGATTTCTGTTTATATGATTGTGGTTATGGTTGTACTTTATTAATCCCTAATCTCTGCCATTACATACAATGAAACAAGAAAAGGTAAAAAAAAAAGAAAAAAACGGAGCTATGTAATACAATACACTATTAGACATTATTGTAAAAAAAAGTCCATCCCATGTGTTAGTGGTTTTTTTAAATATTTAATCAGGAAATGGGAGGAATTTTTTTTCAAATTTATATATTTTTTTTTAGGGGGGAGACCCCCAGACCCCTGGAAGATTTGGTCCCCCCCCCAATGTTGGTGAAATGTCAAATCACCCGCGGGTGACGTCACGACCACGTGACCCACGTGCTCACGGGGTCACGGGGTCGTTTGTTTCCCGCGCAAAAGCGAGGCGCTTCGACTCACATCGCTGTTAAACTTTACAATGTTTTTATCATAATAATTACGAAACGAGTTTAAAGTGCAAGTTAGGGAACGTATTCGAGGTTTCTTTTTTTTCCCCCGTGAACATCTTGAGAGGAAATAAATCTGTAAAAAAATAAAAAAAACTTTGTTTTTCTTCACGTAACTCACGTATGGAGGTACGTTTTATTAAATCAATTAACTCGCGGGTGTTATTGCGTGGCATGCTTTAATTATTATTATGTATTTGCAATCAAATGAAAGTGCAATGTATAGTTTTTTCAATGATTACAGTAGTTAGTGTTAGCAGTAATACGCTATTCGCAATACTGTACTGTAATACGACTTTGCTATTTTTTCATTTCGCTTAAATGTGCACTTTTTATGTAACGTATTTCATGTGTTTATAATATGGGAGTTAATAAATAAACGTAACATTTTCCATGTGCCTGATGTATCTGATTGGATTCGGTTTTCGTACAGCCTTTCATAAAGATCGCGACCACTTTGTAGTAAATAAAGTGGTTGTCTTGTGGACAGACTGGCTCCCGCCACGTGAACGTGGAATTGTCACCAATGGGCTCATCGATCATCATTTTGTGTGTGTTTAATTCGTTCTTCCCGGTCGGCTACGTACGTTGCGATTCAACAAACGTACAATGCAATAGCCAGATCACTTAACTCAATGTATGTCTTTTGATTTAAAGCTTTCGTGACTGCAGGGATTCATATTGTTTTATATTATTTTATTATTTCCCTTCTACGTGACTTTACCGAAAGAACCAATAATATAATATCAATGTATGTCGTCGTTTATACAAAATATACATTTAGTACATTCCACTGCGGGATGAAGGCCTTACCCGCACACCGTATCGGTTATTGGGGGGCACATTTGACCAAAGATTCATAGCTGTCAACCCACATACGGCTTAACCCCTATTCTTCTACATGGAAATTGAGTTTTCAGGTCCATAGGCCGTTTCAATACAACAACAAATGTCTTTGTGTCTCTCCCTCGTGATGGGACTTTGTGGCATGAACATTGAGGTTTATAAGGGGCACGGGGTGGCCAATGAGGTCTGAATTGGTCTGTAACAAGGTAGGGGGCACTGATAAGGGGGTTGACAGATATTCAGTGGTGAGTGTCTATTTGTTTGTGTTTCTCCCTCGTGATGGGACTTTGTGGCATGAACATTGAGGTTTATAAGGGGCACGGGGTGACCAATGAGGTCTGAATTGGTCTGTAACAAGGTAGGGGGCACTGATAAGGGGGTTGACATATTCAGTGGTGAGTGTCTATTTGTGTTTCTCCCTCGTGATGGGATTTTGTGGCATGCACGTTGAGATCTATAAGGGGGCACGCGGTGACCAATAAGGTCTGCATTGGTCTGTAACAAGGTAGGAGGCACTGATAAGGGGTTGACAGATATGATTATACCTCACCACACTGCCCAATGCGGGTTGGTAAAAAGGTGGAATCCTGGAACGATTAAGGCATCAACTCGCCACTGATTTGAGCCTTGCCCCAGAATCCAACTCGTACGTACGTGTAATACGTTTGCAAAACCAAATAATATAATTGTCCGGAACGACGCTACACAACGAATGTAACAAAAACTAAAAAGCACTACAATAAGCGTTAAGAGGTGCGTGCCTGTACGCACACTGAGGTTTAGAAAGAAGAACGCGTGGATCAGAAAACAGGCAAAATCTTGACTTGAAGGAACGGCTTGGATAAGAGCGTATTACTAAAAGTGATCATGGACGAGACTAGGGACAGAATGACAGCCAAAGGAGTGAGGATGAGCACTGGGTATGATGAGATCAGCTCATGTGATGAGTGACATGGATAACGGTATTATTGTATTGCAATACCGTGAGAGATGGTGTTGACATGGGTGAGGCATGTCTCCTGCAGTAGATAGATCATGTCTGATTAGGATTATGTCATGTTAGTTGAGGATGTGGGGCCATATGTTCTCCAATCAGCGTGTCTCAGGGGTTCCATATTTTGTGTCCTCTCCCAAAGCCACTGCGGGAGCCCTTTATAGTAATACGACCGCTTGTCGAGTACTGTGTTGTTAGGCTTACCACGGACCAATTCAGGAAGCATGTCATGGATCACCTGCGCTTCCAACACGATTTGATTGTCACCATTCTTCAAGGTCACGGTTTTATATTAAAATATATTTTTATCTCGTCTATTCAGTCGCGTTTTCTCCATTATAAAAGGTGCACGTGTTTATAATGTGCATACATTGCCACTAAAATTGGTCCCTCGTGATGCCATTGTATGCATGTATCTTGAGTGCAATCATCAATTTTAATCAGTTAACCAATTAAAGGTCACACGGCTACGATGCAGTTTGAGGTCTCCGCTGTCTTTATGGGATTTAACACGGCAACCGTGAAGACCTGAATAGGTTCTCACGAACAGATGGTTGCCGTTTGATGAACTGATATAATGTGTGTGTGTGTGTGTGGCAGTACCCGGTGGACCCAGAATGGAGGGGATTCTCCACCCAAAGATGCTGCTCCAGCTGCTTGAGCAATTCTTCTTTTAGTGCATGTATGTATATGTATGTATGTTGAACTTCTTTCGCACCGTACTTAGCCAACCGTGCTAATCGGACGTGCGTCGAGATGATAAAAATTGCAAGCAGTGATATCAGTGGTGGTCGATCTTCAGTGTCTTCCAATGTTTGCTATCTGCTCATTGGAGCGAGCAGTTTTGTTTTTGTTATGGAGGTCACGTATCGTGGAAATCGAAAGGTCTCCTCCCAGCCCCACCCTGTGACTTTCATGATCCCCCGTGACCCTGAGCAGCTTCGAGTCCACATGAGGCCTGTGCAAGTATCAGCAGCAAGGATCAACCACCACCCAATGAGGCAAAACTGAACACGGCCTTCCTGGAGTACTTCCACAGACTGGGCAGCGGTGACAGAGAGCAGCATGAGGTGATCAGAGCTTCCCCCACCTGTGTTTAGGTGTAGTTATTCGTGTTATTTATATTAGGCCAGATGTTTCCATCGTGTAATGATAACTCGCTAGACTTGCACACTCCGTTCCACGAGAACGGCGAGACTTGCCCAGCCCAGGATGTTTCACCCGGCGCTGGGGCGACGAACCTTCTCGAACGCAGCCCCAAAAATCTGGAACACCCCGCCTGCCACCGGACATCCGAAACGCGCCGAGTGTCTCTCAATTCCTTAGTCTGTGCAAGACACACCTATGCAGACTTGACTCCTCATAAAATGTAAAATGAGAAAACAAAAAACCTCTCTGTTTCTTTACTTATTATTTATTTTATTTACTACTTACCTGATGATATTCGTTGCACACGATTGCATTTTATTATGGACTAGGTTCCAATTTACTTGGCTCAGTCCGTGTTAGCCACTGAGGTCGTGACAGTTTTTTTTTCATTCCTTTTCCTCTATGCCCCCTGTACCATTCCCGCTATTGAGTGCGATATTGGCAGATAAAGTAAAGATTGATTGGACAAGTTTCTTAAATCCACCACCTATGCCCACCTCAATCAGCAGACAGCAAAGGCTCCATTAGTGTGCTGATTTTCTTGTATTTTTTTCTGCCCTCTGACCCAGCAGCTTGACGTTGGATTCCTCAGTAGCCTCATTGGAAGCGGTGCCAACGTGAACACCAAGGACCAGTACGGCCAGACGGCACTGCACATGGTTGGGTTGCTCTCCATTAGCGTTCCGATCGCGCCACTATGAACTTCACCTTTCAATTTCCGAATGTCCCCAAGCTCCTGAAAAGCCTCTTTCCAGATCAGTGCCTTTAAATGCGCAGTTGTGTTGGATCATATTTCTGGAAGACCTGTTGAATTCATTTGAGTTAAAAATGTTACGCTAGTGTGTGTGTTTGTATAAGGGTTAAACGACAGTGTAGTGATTCGTGCACCTGCGCTGCGAACCCGGCGATCTGAGTTTGATTCCTGGCCATGGCCAAATCAATGGTGAACCGGTCCCCTGTGCTTTTCCCTAGGTCAACTCAGTCTTACATGAGTACCTGGTGTGGTGTGTTAACGTCACCACTTGGGAGCCATAGGCAGCAGGCATGGCGCTGCCCACACCTACCTTGTGCTTTCATGCCATCTTTCATAGGTGCTCACTAACAGCACTTGTCCCGACAGTCTGCTAAAGGCTACAGGGGGATCTTTGTTTTGTGTATTATAATGCCTGCGTGTGTGTGTGCGCGCTCGTACAGGCGGCGCAGGCAGGGCACCTTGACGCGGCGCGATTCCTGGTGGAACGTGGCGCGCACGTTGACGAGCCGGACACGAACGGACGCACGCCCCTGCACGTGGCTGCCGCACTGGACCACCCCAATGTCATCGACTTCTTTGTGAAGCACGGAGGTGGCCACGGCCACCGCTGTCGCGCGCTAAAGCCGCCTCCATCGCCGCTGATGCCATCAACACTGCCGCAAATCACTAACACCACCACCATTGACACCGCTGCCACCCACTACCATTCACTTACTTTTAAAGTACAGTAAAGCATATTATCTATTGTAGAGCACTTTGAACTTTATTTGGTTCCATTAACCTTTATTTGTGCATTGTGTAACTGTCATTTTCTAAAGTTGCTTACATATATAAATTTTTATATACGACATTGTTACTGACCGTATCTTTAATTCCGTGTACAAAAATCGACCTTGACCTAAGTAAAGCGTTTCGGCGGCCGTGTGTGGTTTTGGCCCCGGGCAGGCGATGTGGAGGCGGCGACGCGGGAGGAGCTTCAAACGGCCGCTCATTACGCCGCCAAGCACGGCGCGCGAGCCGCCCTCGAGTGTCTATACCGGCGCCTCTCCAACATCCACGCCCGGGACTACTGCGCTCGCACACCGCTCTTCCTCGCCGCCAAGCACGGTAGGTCCGCCAGCACCACCGCGATGGGTCGAATTTTGTCGATGGGAAATTGGCTGACATGGCCAAGTGGTAGCGTGTTTGCCGCTTGTTGCGGAGGCTTGCGGTTCCTGCCCAGCGGCCGACCTGCTTAATGCTGCGAGGCGTACTAACCATGAATACACACCGTCTGCTGCACAGTGGACGTTATAGAACTGGTGACATTCAAAAAGATGGTAGGCCATGTATACAAGGTTCACGGTCCAAATTTGGTAAATTACTCACAAAATTACTGAATTGGGAAAATCCATATAACACCATCTCTCCCTACTGGCTAACTCATGTCGATTTACAGGCCAGTGCTGATTATATGTTGTGATGCACCTGTACAGCTGCCACTGGGGGTCCCCTTGGCTAAACTGCAAAGGGCATAGAAATAGTTGATATGAGATGTGAGGCACTCATGAGTTGCTGAGAAATTTAAGCACCCTATACATGCTAATTATTATCCAAATTTTGTCTCAAGTCCTCCTTTTCTCCTGTGCTTGAGACTTTTTTAACAACACAACCACAACTAAAATGTTGGGTAGGCCAGCGCGGCACGGTGCAGCTGCTACTGAACGTGGGGGCGGACGCTGGTGCCGAGGACTCGTTGGGGACATCCTGCCTGAGCGTCATTCTCGACACCGTTCCTGACATGGTGACACCAGCACAGCCACCAACAACCGCCATGACAACTGATAGCACCACCACTGCTCCGACTGACACTATAACCCCTACTGCGACTACTGCGTCAACGTTTACTACCACTGTTACCATCACCATTAGCACTACTTTAAACACTGCTAATAATACTGCCACTGCCATCACCGATACAACTACCACAACTTTCACCACCACGACTATTGCTATTACCACTGCCGCAACCATTGTCATCACGAATACTAGCGCCAACACCACTACTGCTCCTTTTACCACTGCTGCTGCTATTATTACCACTACCATCACCACCTCCACTGCTATTGCTACCACTAATCCATCACCACTGTCACAAGGACCGCTGCTGTCACCATCACTGCATGATTATTTTTGAGCCATCAGTCTTGTTCCCTATTTATTTCAAATTTTGACTTTCGTATTCGTAATTTAGGAAATAACTTGAGTTAAATTATACGTTGAATTAAACCTTTAGATTTGTGAGGTAAGTTAAACAATTATAACTTAATGATTGGAAAACAATGTTCTCCAATTGTATGTGTTGCTCTGTCTGTGGGTTCTCTTTGTTTCTTCCCAAGTTTTCACGTTTATTTTAGGCAGCTGTCGCTGTCAGAAGGGAAACCAGTACAAGGTGCAGCTATTTTTCAACTCAAGTGCCGTCGGGGTTTTTAAAAATAATTTGCCCGCTGCCTGTGTGTGTCTTCATCAGGCGCTGCTAGCGCTGAACCAGCTCCGCGTGATAAAGGAGTCTGACCAGAAGCAATACTTCTACCTAAAAATACTGGAGCCGGCAGAATCCGGTGAGGCCTCTGCTGTTTAGTCAAGAGCCAGTTGTGGAAATTCTAGATTATTCTGTTAACGTCCTACTGAGCTATCCATTGTCACCCAGTGGTATTTCTTTTACCGACCACTTAAGACAGGGTTTCCCAAAGACTGTCTCTTTGCAAGCCACCACTGTACATCTTGCAGTAATAACATATTTTGTGTAGAGCTCTTTGTAATTCCTCTGCTGGATGAAGGCCTCTCCATGACGTGTTGGCTGTGGCGGGTTGTTTGACCATACTTCACCACGCTACTGAGTGTGGATTGGTGAATGGTGTTCCAGGACCGGTTCATGTATCAATCTCCAACAGATGTTAGCCATAGACAGGAATTGAACAAAGGTTTCATAGGGCAGTGCACTGACCACTGTGCCACCATTCACTGACCAATGCTTGCCTCCTTTTAAATACATACTGAGTTTTTGCACACTGCACATGTCTGATGACTGCTAAACACATTCCACGAGGTGTATAGAGTGCCGATTGAAATGAAAAGATTCCGTGTTTGACTTCCATGAAGTAGAGCTGAATTCCAATTAGCGAGCTTTGTATACTTCACATGGGACATGTTTAAAAATCATCATGCGTGTGCGGTGTGTAACAACTTGATTTTTTTAAACATTGAATACAATGCATACGAATCAAAGACACATCTATTTTTACGTGACTCATTCGATGCATATATCACGCGTTTATTGATCGATAACACTGAATCGATGCATCATTGCACCGCTTGCACAGAGATATTAATAAAACACAGCCAAACACACCCAACAAACAACATTGGTTAATGCCTATAGGGTGAAACTATGCACATGCAGCCACTGGAACTGACTTGTTATTATTTTTGTTTTTATATACAGATAATCAAGAAAAGCCTGTTAAGAGCTTGGTAAGCATTGGCACCAACGTATTCAATTCAATAGACCAGGGGTCGGCAACCAAAATAACAAGAAGAGCCATTTCTTTCCAATTCGGTACAAAATTCAGTATTTCAAGAGCCGCAATGCATCTGAGTACATACTGTACATACGTACATATCGTCAAGAAGCAGCTCGTAAAGAGCCGCATGCGGCTCCGGAGCCGTAGGTTGCCGACCCCTGCAATAGACCAATAGACCACACCTTTAGAAAGTTAAGCTGCATATAATCCCACAAAGCGTTATTTAAGATCTTCTTGTGGATGAGTTATGTACAACTCCTTGGAGCTGCCACCAACACCACACACTGACCCCTTCCACTGGCAGTAACCTTGAGCTCAGGAGAGTGCCACCCATTAAATACTTTAAGCTTGGGCATTGCCCCTCCTAAAAATGTTCCCTGCTTAAAAAGGGTTCCTAGAACCACGTATTGAGTCACGTTAGAAGAAGTCCCCAGCTATAAATAAATATTAAATAATAATAAATAATATACACGTGTTAACAGGCAGCTGAAAGACCATGAAATCAATTAAATCAAATTGACAGCATGGATGGCTGGGGGAAAGGGATTTCCAGATTGAGGGCAGCAGAGGAGTGAACGTTGACTTGGGCCTTTGACACAGAGCCTTGCTGTCTGCAGTGTGATAGCTAATTCACATCTTGCGCCACCACTCAGATTTCTCATGCGCAGGTGAGGGGTGTAGCAGTGCCTGTTCCACCACAATCTTTCTCCTGCTGTTGCCACTGTTCGTTTCCCCTCCTCCCCCTCTGCCTTGTCGATGTTGGCAGTTGGAGCTCGTGGTGATGAGGCGGCTGTATCAGGTCGTGGACCACCCGGTCGTACGTATGTTCATCGACGTCAAGTGGAATGCATACGGCCTGTAAGTGTTCCATCTAATCTCATCTAAGAGGTTTGTTTCTCTCCTTTTGTCAGGCTCCAGTCTGAGGGTGTCTACGAGAGGTGTGACAATCTTATTGATTTATCAATTAATATCATATCTTAAGCTTATGATGCATGCATAATGTTTTAAATAATCAATGTTATATCGGGTACCCGGTTGCGACCTCTGCCCCCCACCCAGCCCCTCCCCACCCTCCCCTCTCTACCCAGCCCCACCCTCCCCACCCAACCCCTCCCCACCCTCTCCACCCAGCCCCTCCCCACCCTCTCCACCCAGCCCCTCCCCACCCTCCTCTCCCCACCCAGCCCCTCCCCACCCTCACCCTCTCCACCCAACCCCACTCCCATATTTGGATGCACGACGGAAGGGACGGACACAATAATCCCCTGTGGGCTGGTGGAACCAGGAGGTTCCTACCAGTATAAACACATGTATTTGTCTATTCACGCGATGGTGATGTGTGTATGTGTGCGCCCACAGGAAAGGGAACTGCTGGACCTTGACCACCAAGATGGCGTTCATCGTGACGTGGATGGTGCTGCTGGTGGCCGTGCCGTGGCCCCGTCGCCACGTCTACACTTTCCCCAAGGCACGGCCGCCCCGCATCGCACTGCACCTGCCTGCCACAGCTCACTAGCATGAACACTCGCATGTAGCCATCACACCATGATGTGTTTGCGGGATATACTGTATGTTTTTTCGCGTGATGGCTGAGATGTATCTGCACATACTGAGAGCTTCTTTAGTACGGTCCCGTGGAGCAAAATGTTGAAAGTCATGCTGTAGCTCGCTGGTGTCAACGCTGATGTAACCACAGCTCTGTGAAGCATTTTCTGGTTGTGCCATGTGTTGTTCGGCACGAATTGTGACGGTCGGCTCCATGTGCTGGGAGCTTCTTCAGTCTGATATTTTTCTCGACCCGCCTTGGAGCTTCTTCCATTCCAACACATTGAATGAAATGTCAAACTGACAGAAGAGGAGGGAGGGAGATAAACGTCGGATATCGTGCTGAACGACACACGACAATTTGAAAACCCATTGGAGGAGAGCTGTACGAGTTGACATGTTAACGTTTATCAGCAGCCGTTAAATTTCGATTTAAAGCTTTCGTGACTGCAGGGATTCATCTTCTTGGTTCTTTCGGTAAAGTCACGTAGAATGGAAATAATAAAATAAAACATAATAAAATAATTCTCACGACGTTTCGGCCACAACGCAAGCAGCCGTCCTCAGGTGAAGACCAGGTCTGTCGGGGAGACAGCGTCTGAATGACACTGTCTTCCCCGACGCTGTCTCCCCGACAGACCTGGTCTTCACCTGAGGACGGCTACTTGCGTTGTGGCCGAAACGTCGTGAGAATTATTTTATTATGTTTTATTTTATTATTTCCATTCTACGTGACTTAACCGAAATAACCAAGAAGAAGCAGCCGTTAAGTTAACGTACAAAGCCGTTGCTTTGGCCAGGACTGGTGGCGGGTGGCGCTCGCCTTGTGGTGCGGCTCTCACGCTCTGCTGCGCTTGGTGCTCGAGGTGCGCCAGCTCCTCTCCTCTCGCCGCTCGTTCGCTGCTTGGAAGAAGCTGCGGTACCAGGAGATCATCAGCGACTGCCGCTTCTGCCACCCGTGCTGGCCTGAGGTCAGAGGATTCGGGGGGTGCTCGTTCCGTTCTGACTCCTGCAGCCCAGCCCGACAGCCCAGTCTGCCGTGGACTTAATTGTCATCTTGTGTCCTTGTGCTGTACTCAAGTGTGTTATAATGTTCCAGTGTCCACATATCCTAGTTTCTTTAATATGTTTGATATGTCCGTACGTCCCAATGTGTATAATGTGCTAGCTTGTTTCCTATGGTCCCTGGTACAAGGAATAAATTGTGACCGTCCCCTGTCCAATTTGCCCACACATTGATATATAGACTGGCCCATGTGCCCCGGTGCAATTGCACCGCCTGCACACTCGATAGCTATCCCACTGCATTAATTCTGGATGTATTTTGGGTGTACAAATTGTCTTTGGTTATCGCTGCATTCAGGAAAGCGTCTACCTTCAGAACCAGATGAAGAAGCTGAAAAAATCACAGGCTTTCTACTTCTTGGACTACTGGTAAGCTCTGCTGGACGGCTGGGTTGACAGCAGTGAGTGCGCTCCCCACTGACCCACCGCGTGTCGAGGCAATGGTTCGATTCCCGTAACAGTGACCCCTACCTCCTCCCATCCCACTACTTTCGTATTTTCGCATCCACACAGTATGCCTCTATGTCCTCACCTCCCCTATCTGTCATACATATAGCACTTCCCAGTACACAGTCTTGTTCCAAACTCTCTTACTCATGGCTATAAAGAAAACAGGGATACACAGACAACACATTTCCTTTGCTTGTTTCTCCCAACGTGCCTCGGCTACCTGTCTCTCAACCACCCGTGTTTCACCTGTGTGTGTGTGTGTGCGCCATGTGCCTGTGTCCCCCGTTGCAGGAACGTATTGGACTGGGTGGTGCTGCTGGTGCTGTTGGCGGCGCTAGTGACACACGTGGCGGACGTGATAAGGCCGAGCGCCGCCCTCGCCTGCACCCACGTGCGCCTGGCAGCCGTGGCAATAGTACCGCTGTGGCTGTGCAACCTCAAGCAGATGCGGTCCTTCTGGTGGGACCCAGTTTACACACGCGCTTGTGTCTGTGTGTGATGTGTAATTTGTCTGCATTTATTTGTAAGTGTATGGAAAACGGTTGTATAGTGGTTAGTGAACCGCACTATGACTTTGAACACGTTCCTTCAGAGTGGGCAGGTAGGAACTTGGTTGGACAGCGCATTCGTGTACGACAGACAGACAAATAATCCCTGGTGGGCAGTGTGGAACCTGTTGTTCCGACCTGTATAAGTGTAGTGTATCGTGTCGTGTATAGTGTAGTGTGTAGGTTAAACGTTGAGTTTTATAAGGGCACCACGGGGTGACCAGCCCCTCCCCACCCAGCCCCACCCCAAACACACCCCACCCAGCCCCACCCTCCCTACCCAGCCCCTCCCCACCCAGCCCCACCCAGCCCCTCCCTCCCCACCCTCCCCTCTCCACCCAACCCCACCCCTCCCACCCTCCCCATATGTACGACAGACAAATAATCCCTGGTGGGCAGTGTGGAACCTGTTGTTCCTACCTGTATTAAACTTCTATCATTCTAGCCACACCCCCTTATGTTGTGTTGGCCTTAGAAGGTGCTCGCTTGGGGTCCTAGGCAGATGTCTCCTCACTCAATGCAAGAACAGCAGTCACTGCTTAGACGACCACTGAATAGTCAGTGGACAAATCAGTTCCACAGGAGTTCCTGGGTAGGTGTATGTGTGGTTGGGCTAACATCATTGGAGAATGATATCTGAACCGGTCCTGGACCTCCCATTGGTTGACTCGGTCTAAAATGGGTACATGGTGCATTCTGTAAAACATTCGTAATAGGGATACATAGGCGGCTGCGCGTGATGTTGACTGCACTACCGTTGCATGTGCTGCCTGCCTCAAAAGGTGCTTACTAACGTCACTTTCCAATAGCCCGTAAAAGGGTGTGCAGAGGATCTTTCTGTGATGTGTGTGAACACGTGTGGGTTACTGCGAGCCACAGGGTGATCGGCCCCTTCATCGTGATGCTGGGCAAGATGGCGGTCCACTTCTTCAAGCTCCTCTTCCTCCTCCTGCAGTTCTTTGTGCCGTACAGCATCGCGTTCCTCCTCGTGTTCCACAGTGAGCCTCACTTCTCGCTGGCGACGTCACAGCGACCGATCACCTTATTGCGCGGAGAGAGGGAAAGCCTGTTCAAATGCAACGCGCCCGACTCGCGTGTCAGTGAAAATGTTACCTATAAATTCCAAAGCATGCGGTCGCATTACCTTGTTCCACATACCACTCGCAGTCATTACTGTTCACGATGCTCACGTGTCAATGGCAAAGATGAGGAGGATGTGGTCGTTGTCAAGTTGCTGACGATAAGCACATCGCTGATGATGATGTTGGCGCTTTGCGTAGACTCTGGCATCGAGACCCTGGCATCGGGTCACATGACAGCATTCCAAGTGCTGCGCTTGGGCTTTACGGACGAATACGAGGCACTGGCCATGCTGGCCCACGCGCCGCTCATGACCCCGCTGCTCGTCGTCTCCTACGTGGGCCTCGTCTCCATCGTCTGTCTCAACATCTTCGTGGCTATGCTCAACGACGCCTACGAGAGGTCGCCCGCCCCCTTGTCCTACCCCCACGCTCTCAGCCGATCGACAACCCACTCAACCGTGCCCTCAACAACACTCTTGATTTCTGCTTCTAACAACAGCTCCCACTACTCTGCCAGCGATTTTATGAATTGTTATGATTCGGGGTGGTGCAGTGGTTAACGCACTACACGACAAACCCTTGGACTTGCGTTCGATTCCCGGACATGGCTAACATCTGCAGTTAATGATATCTGAACTGGTACAAGTTCAGGTGACCACTACACCTAATAACAAGTGTAGTGAGTTGGTGGTGCCAGCCTGATCATCAATGATCTGCACACAAAAGAGCATCACAATGAATGTTTTACTTAAAATCTTGAGTTATTCAACTACAGTTAAATTGCCATAAACCTGCCACAAATAGTTTAATAATTGCAAGTTTACAACCTACGTATGAGTACACAAGCTGTCAGTTACACACAAAATTACTTCATATAACGACCATGCTATCAGTGACTACCAAAACATTTAGCAAAGCACTAAATAATAGGTATTTATTTAGAACATTAATTATTAGGGGTTTGTTAGTTCGTACTTATTTTCTCGGGAAATAACATATCTAAAAGATAATTCAATGAGCAACGATAATCATGGTATATGCAGCAAAACGGACAGTGCAATTATCGCGGACATCACATTGCATGGTATATTGTATCGCCGCTATACCGCGGTACACTAGTGGTGACGGTACGTGTCCGAATGCAGTGTGAGCGAGGACCCGCGTGCCAACATGTACATGCAGCGCGCCAGCGTGCTGCTGGGGCTAGAGAAGAGCGTATTCTTCCGCGGGGATCGCGAGGTCACTCGCCGGTTCCTGCACGACGAATGCTCGCCACTCCACGCCTCCTACAGCCACGAACGGTGCATGCACACACGCACGCACGGCCTCCCCACCACCTCGCCCGCCGCTTTTCCTCTCTTCTCTCTAAAATGTCATCAGCGTCAACATTTCCCCATTGTCATCACCGTTATCAACTAAAAATTAATCGGAAGCAGACGAAGGCATTCCCACACACACTGGAGGGGTGACGCCAGCCGTCATCCGCCATCAGGGTCCCCTGCCGGCATCGATCCACTCAAGATTAATATCAGCAGAATAAATTCAAGAAAATTATTAGCGCCTATCACAAATATTATTTATGACAATCGCGTTGTTTATTGCTGGTCACTTGGTACTTTGGGCCTTTGGACAAATTTACCCTGATTGCTAAAGCAGCACAAGTTTTATTTTTGAAAGTGTATGGGCGCACTGGCAATAATACCTGATTGTCATTCTGAGTGACTCGTATATTTCATTCTAGATTTGAAGTTTTCGTGGCTGCAAGGATCCATAACTCTTTGGTTCTTTCGGTGTTGCAATCGAAACGTGATTTAATTTACTTTAAATATTTATTTATTTCAATTTTTTTTCCCGACGTGCCTTTACCGAAAGAACCAAAGAGTATAGACTTGTATATTTATTAGTGTGTAAGTTTTCACGGTTATGCCGGATTTAGGGTTGTACCGCTTGTTGTTCAGCATGATGCCCAATGTTTCACTTGCTAAAAAAGCTCCCAGCATATAGAGCGAAACGTCAGACAACATAACGAATACACGGTACCACCCAAAAGCACATCGTAGACTCACGTGGTGTTGTTTTTTATATTGCAGTGCGGTACAGACAGATTCCGAGTTGCTCACGGCAGCGTGTGAAATCCAGGTATGCATGTCACTGATTCTGCGTGTGAATGATTGTATTGTGTAGAAGCCTACATGTATACATTGTTATGTGTGTAGATGTGTGCGGGGCATCATTTGCTTATTGCACTGTAATCTCAGTTACCTGAGTACGAATTCCATCTTAGCACATTGGACAGTTTTAATGTATTGTTTATTTTCAGTCTTGTTAACTCTTTGTTATTAAATGCTAGTGTGAGAGGTGCACTATTTCTCCCGATAATATCAGGTCAGCCAATTAGTGAGTTGGTGAACCATTTTATGTACATATATTGCCAGTTACCATTTTTGATCCTCTCAGTGCATTGATGTTCCTAAATTATTGTAGTTTGCATCTTCATTGAGACTTGTAATCGCCATGCTTTGATCTTTTATGGGGAGTCGTAGTCATCACTCAATGATCAGTGATTAAGATTAAAGTACACTTGATGGATATGTGCAAAACATTTACCACTGGTCTGGGGCAAGTGGTATAAACATTTCCTGGGCCTCCTCTATGTTGAATTGCCCTCAAACGACGACCTGATGCAATGTTTAATTTTTTTTCTGGAAGGATGGTCTGGAGGAACTCAGGGAGTACGTGCATGATGACCACACAAACGGAGAGACCAAGGAGATGTCTTCCACCACCAGGCCTCAGTCTCCCCGGTTAGTCCCTGGTTCCAAGCCCACAGACCCGGATGGGAATGGAGTAGCTCATGGTGTCAATGCATGTGTTTGCACGGATCTGTGTGCAAGTGTTTGCATGTATGTATGCCTGTGCGTGTGTGCGCAGGCCATTTCCATCGGGCTCTCTGTCGTCGGTGTGCCAGGAGGTGCTGGATATTCACTGGCAGCTGGACCTGCTGCGCATGGAGCAGCGTGACACCATTGCCCACCTGAAATACATGCTGCGCGACCTGCACCAGCGGCTCAACGCATACACCCCCATAGGCACCTCTGCTCTTCCCTACATACCCTCATACGTGCATACACACATGTACACTCACAGACACAAACTGGTACACCCTTGTACACCCTTGTACATGCACCTACATAACCTAAATGGTTTTCGTTGTTGCTGCAGATGGGCAACCAGGGGCCATGGATGGTGCGAGTGCAGGGTTTGTGGAAGGAATAGAGACACCACCATTGCACGTTGTTTGGGAGCGGCCGGACCAAGCCAGCGAAAGCAGGTGTGAGAGGCAACAGAGGCAGACAACATCTAGCTGAGCGTCTGACGACTCTGTAAACCAATTTTTCTCAACTCCAATCCCCACAACATCCGCACGCTCCCACATTGTTTTGATTACCATTTGTTTTTTATCATGTAAATTAAGCCACTGTACACTGCATGCACCTGATGATGATCATGGCAAATTAGTCTCAGCAAAGGATACTAAATATTCATGACCGGTAGACATCAGCCATGTAATGATTTGCCCCCCTCATGATTAGATACATTATCTTGATCCAGGATCGCAATACGATGAATTTTTTTGTTTGTTAAATAAGTATTATTATACACCATTGGAACCTGATGGTGCATTGTCTCTGAGTTGTGCGCCTTTTGGCGTCATCTGGTCCAACCCATGTGAGACTAGGCTCTAAGGAAAGCTGTCTCGGGTGTGGACCAATCAACTTCCAAGGACAGTGCACATTATCAGAGTTATGTTTTTTGTTTGCATTATGACTGCAGGTATTGTGGTCTATGCAAACATGACTCCTTGTAAAAAAAGGTGTCAGTTTTGTTGCCAGATAGAAGGGTAAAAAACCATTATCATATTATACATATAGATGTTTTAGATTGTGGTGAATGTAGCACCTCTAATGTCTGCAGTGGTTACGTGAACCCATTACATACACACCACATAATAAATAATGAATTCCTACATATCCGCTTCATGCCTAGAAGACACAAAATAGCTGGATTGCTCAATGCAGTCATGCGAGTGATGGCGAGATCGAGACCTATTTATAACGCTTTGGTTCTGGTACCGCTTTGCTGTTAAGAGGCCGTCCATAAATGACGTCACGCGATTTTGGACCATTTTTGACCCCCCCCCCCCCCCTTTGTCACACGGCGTTACAAAAATCAGACCCCCCCTCAAATATGACCCCCCCCCCCCAAAAAAAATATTAAACATGCTTCAAATCGCTTTAAACTATTGTCATTGCAGTGCGTATTTAATGTAGCGCTGCACTCTGATGTAGGAGAAAACATTTATTAAAAAGTATAAAAGTATTTTTAATTAAGTAGAACGTGTTGTCTATATTTATTTAAAATTTCACATTTTGATGTGACGTGACATTTCTCAAACCCCCCCCCCCCCTAGGTGCGTGACGTCATTTATGGACGGCCCCTAATGTTCCTTTTGTTAAAAATACAAATAGACACTTGCTCCTCCACTTATTACGGAAGAAACCGTGCCAGACTAAAATGAGGACTTGATGTTTGCTATGTAATGCTTCAAATGTATTATGTTTATGATATGCATAAAATTGTGCTTGTTTTAAATGTATTGTAGTTACTGTTTGTACAGTTTATATGAAAATAGTTGTTTTAGGATAATTGAACAGGCGAGGGAGAATATACGGAACAGACAATAACATAGAAACAGTACAAATTATACAACCAAATTTCTTTTTAAATTGTGACCCCGACGTATGGAAATTCATGGCATCATAGTAGGGTGAATCATGACATTCCTTTATTGATGACGTGATATATCGCTATGATGTGGTGCTGGCTACACTGCTCTTATTTGGCATCGTAGTCTTAAGGTGTGCTTGCTTACCACACTATACGTCACATGTCTGAGATGTATAGGACTAAAGGTGGATATGTGAACATGTCAGATGTGTGAAGATCTATAGAATGATGGAAAAGCCATGCACAAATAGGCCACTGGACAAAAATCAAGCACAAACTGCTTTAATCATGGGAAATACAGTGTTTGAGAAGTAAATGTACGCGAGGTTAAGAACACATTGCTGAATATGAAAAGGTTGGATTTGTGAACATCCGAAGAAAATGACAGTCACAGCACACACAATTACTGCACTCGTGGGCAGTTAAATGGTCAGGACATATATGTGATGATCGTATATGCGACATTGTTCTTTATTTACTTCAACAACTTGTCTGGGATAAAGAGAATATCTTTGTCTTGTAGTTTTTTGTGTGACGGAGTATGTATGTGTGTCCTCTGCAGCGTGGAGGCTCCATCTACAAGCACCGGTTAAAGGAATACCCCTTGCTGTACTCATCATATGATGGTAAACACATAAATGAACCATGTTAAATGTAGTCTCACTGAGACACGGTTAACAGATGCACGTACAACCTTTCTGAACCTTGTAACACAGGATTCTGGTAAACATACACAATAAGGTCAGAGCATGCGTAACATTTCAGGAAAGCTGTACACAACTCAAGTTGGGTGTGAGCGCATACGACGCTTTATTTAGCCGAGCCACTGAGCTATAAATATAAATTAAATAATGAGCTGTTAACACATTTATTGGAAAAAATGTCGAGCACTGAGTGAGCGATACAGCAGCTGCAGACTCCTAACTCAGAAGGTAAACAACAGCTTGAATATTAGGATCCACATGCCGAGGACATTTGTAATTTGATGGAATCGTGTTCTTTTGTGGACACAGCAGACCAGACAGCAGGTCTGCACAAACATCTGGCAGGTGTAAGACACAAAGCCACAGGAGACCATCGTCTGACAGCCAAATAAATAAACTTAAATACTTAACAGGGTTGGAGGAAAACATTTAGTGACTGTCGTAGCAGCAGTGACGCTCGTTGCCTCTTGACTAAAATTATCTTGGTTCATTGATCGCTCAAAGCAGTCACGTTTTAAGTCATATGACCGTTTTATTATAGCCACAGCATCTAAATTAAATGTGTGACTTAATCCACATTACGTGTTGTTCCAGGATCTTTGAAGGAAGACGCAACGCAAAATCAAACAGCTGTTGATGCATATCGAGGGTGTGTGTTGGATTAGCCAACATGAGTTGTAAACTTCATGAATGAGAAAATTACTTGAAAAGTAAGTTTAGGTGTTCCTTCAGATTCCAGTGGTGTTGCTGCGCCGATGTATTTAGACGTATGAAAGTGACGTCGCAGTCTTCTCCAAGGACAGACAGCTATCAAGATAAAGATTTACTTTACACAAATCCAAGATGGCCACAAATAAGATGCCTGAAATTTTGCTTAATTTATATCATAATTGATATAAAAGTTCACAATGGCACAAATCTACCAATATGTTTCACAGCACTTCATAAGAGCAGAGAAGAACAAGTTATCTTTAATGTAATCTTTCAAAACAAGTGGACACAAATAACCTAGCCTAGTCATTTTTCATAAACCGAGCAAGTGTACTTTTAAAATGTAAACATGTTTGTCCTTTGAGTTTGTTCCTGTAATAGCTACACCCAAGCCCAGAGCCACCTCTGATAGAGTTGCTCACAGCCACCCCCCAAATCGCAGTTTGTTGGGCAGGTAGTAGCGGCTAAGTAGCCCTGGCGAGATCGACTCCAGTGCCTGCATCTCTGCCTTCACGGCACGTGCTTGCAATATTTCCAGCTGAAATACAAGACGCACTCATTTCAAACCTGGCAGATGCGATCGCTGGTATGTGACATTGACTCAGTCGAAGTCTTCACCTGGTGGTAATTCTGTGTTGGACCTCGAGAAAGCACTGACTGGTTTGAATTATGGCTAAATTAACCTATCGGGGGTCAATCTGGTGGTAATTCCTGGCCGAGTTAACTTGGCGGAGGCCTTCATCAAGGTCTGATATCCAGCAGAGTCAACCTATGGGAGGTGTTTGCAAATGGTAATTTCAGGCTAAGTTGACTTAGTAGAAGTTCTCTTGTGGTTATTACTTCACATTTAATGTATTGAAGGGTCATATGTTGTACTCATGTTCAGGCTGAGCCAACTTCGGGGAAAGCCTCGCTGGTCTGAATGTCACTTTAGGCGAAGTCAACCTGATATCTTGTGAGGAGCACCCAACCCAGACACCAATGACCTGTATATATATATTTTACCTGCTATGTATATTTCCTTTTATAAGGCAGTGTTGATGACAAATCGTTCATGTGTACCACTGCGAACGCAGTCCAATATTTGTTTTGCTTAATGGAAAATGTAAGGTGTCTTATGCAACTGGTTAAAAGTTTTAGAAAAACCCTAGCCAGTTTGAAAATCCACCAGTGAAGGAATCCTGTGCACACACGCTTGCTCATCACGCAAGCTCGTAGCCATGGCACGAGTTTCAGTTTGTGAGGGACGCTGAGGTCAGCTTCTAACCTCATTCCGCCACTCGGGGTGCAGCTCCATGAAGGGACCTGCCTAACAGCTCCCGCAGCTTCCTCTGGTCTCTGTCAGAGAGTGGCAGCAGCACAGTTGTGGGAATGTTCCACCTGTGGAGCAGGGAATAAAGAGAAATATCCCCCGTCTGGCATTTCACATGCTGTAGGGGAAAATGCGGTTAGTGAGCACCTATCAAGGGGAGCATGGTGCATAATAAGATGGTGTGGTCTACACCACACCTGTCCACCTTTATCTCCCCAGTGCTGATGTTTACACACTGGACTCGGCACTTAAGGCTGTGTCAACCTAGGTGAGGTCCAGGACTGGTTTAGATATTCGTTACCGATTGCTGGCCATTAGCGTCACTCCAACTCAAATTTCTGTGTTCGTCGTGCAGTGTGCCAACTACTACACTTTACCACTCACTTAACGTATACACACACACACAGGTGCTCACCAATACCCAACACTTAGGAGTGCATTTTACCTGAATATGCGTAGTTGCTGCGTGTAGTTGGTTATAATGCAGTCTATACTTAAGATACTTGGTATATGTCATGCACAAATCGTGCGCATGAGACATCTAGCTGCAGGGAAATGAGGACATGGCAGTAGGATACAGTCCAGAAAACAGGTTGCGGACCTATCTGTGTGGTGTTTGAGTGAGATTATCTGAGTATGCGTGGGTTTTCTCCTGGTACCCTGGTTTCTTACCATACTAAATTAACACATTTTTGCGGAGGGAGCTGGTAGGAACGTTGGGTTGCTCGGTCAATGGCCAGGGTCAACGGTGGCGTGGTGTATTCCGCAAAAATGGCCGACTGTGAGGGCGGGCACAAGCCGGCGTGAGTAGGTTAAACGTTGAGTTTTATAAGGGCACCATGGGGTGACCAGCCTCTCCCCACCCAGCCCCACCCCTGCCACCCCCCACCCAGCCCCTCCCCACCCAGCCCCTCCCCACCCAACCCCTCCCTGCACGACGGACGGACAGGCACAATAATCCCCTGTGGGCTGGTGTAACCAGGAGGTTCCTACCAGTATGAAGTTTGGATCCAAACATCCTGAAACAGGATCCTTCTGAAAAGTAGTATTTAAGACTCGGTGATACTTTCTTGGATAAAAAAAACACAGTAATTTTTTAGTGGCCAGGTGACTTGGTGACAGATTTGGCCAGTACATTGGGACAGTTTGAAAAGGGGGTTGATGGTTGATAATCTACCTCCACCCAGTAATAGATACAATCCCAAGACGTGAAATTAAGCCAAGTAGTGGGACCCACCTCTCTATTTCAGAGGGTAGCACACCCAGCCAGCAAATGGTTGGCACAGTTAGGTTGGCAGCATCGAAGGACATGGACTGTAAGGACAACAGGACAAGTATGGGTTAGCCAGAAGCAGCTTTAAGCTGAGTCAATGCCTGAGTGATCATTTGTGCAAGATTGCAGCAGAAATTTCACAACTTAATATTTTCCAACTGCTTTGTCCACATCTGAGTGGCTAAAGTGCATAAAAAGGTTGGTGTTTAAGAGTTGGCGTTTACCCTTTTATGGTTAGCTCCACCCCCCACCCATATCAGGATTATTTATAACCAATTATAGTTTGCAAATGTGCACATTAAATACTTTGCTACACATTTCTGACCAGATTGCTTGAAATTCTAGTCTACCTCTGCTAAAAGTAACAGATTGTGTAACTGCTCGCAACTTGTTTTTGCAATGTCCACATATAAGCAATTCAGTTACGTGCAACCAAGTAGTGTAACTAATTGCTCAGGTTTGGAACCAGATTTAAGGGGGCACCAGTGTCCGCCCCTCTGATTAGCATGGTTGGCTACGTACAGTGCGAAAGACGTTCATACATTTTGATTTAAAGCTTTCGTGACTGCAGGGATTTATCTTCTTGGTTCTTTCGGTAAAGTCACGTAGAATGGAAATAATAAAATAATAAAAATAAAACTTAATAAAATAATTCTCACAACGTTTCGGCCACAACGCAAGCAGGCGTCCTCAGGTGAAGAACAGGTCTGTCGAGAAGACAGACTCTGAGTCTGACTGTCTTCTGAGTCTGACTCTGTCTTCTCGACAGACCTGTTCTTCACCTGAGGACGGCTGCTTGCGTTGTGGCCGAAACGTCGTGAGCATTATTTTATTATGTTTTATTTTTATTATTTCCATTCTACGTGACTTTACCGAAAGAACCAAGAAGACGTTCGTACATACGAAGAGTGAACGCTTAATACAATTTATTTAAATAATTGCACCATGACGTGAACTTAGCACGTGTGAGTTAGTCACTATATTTCATTGCAGCGTGTTCCACCCAATCTTAATAAAAGCTGAGTATGTCTTGGTGTGCCTGCAGGTCACACTGAGTGAAGTGTAGCAAAAGATTATAGCATTTTCTTGAAAAAGTGTATTTCGGTTAAGCTGAATATGAAACGTACAAGTTTAGTAGTTTTTCTTAACTTCCGAAATGGTGATGTTTGATTAAAAAAAAAAGTATATTCTTAGTCTTCATTTTGACCTGTATCTAATGTCTAGTTTTCCCAGCCTTCGAATAAATACTCGGAGGTTGGAAAGTCTAGCGGTCGTGTTAATTACGTTATATGTGTTTTTTTTATCCACTTACCAGGGACCCATACTTGTAGATTGTCATAATTTCAAATCCTGAAAAACAAAACTTCGTTAAAATGTTCATACTTAGCTCAGACTGCAGCATAAATGTTATACTGTGTAGAAAGAAAATAAACTTTGACTTGAAAAATCATGTTCTTGTTCATGTTTGTACTTTTACAACCTAGTTATGATACAAGAAATGTACTTAATGAAGATACTTTTCTAATGCTGATGGGAGTATGCATTGGTCTGGTTCGTCATTCCATCTATATACAGTCAGTAAAATGAGCAACACTTAGTGTCAAATTCAACTCAACAGCAATTGTTGTGTTAAGGATGAATTGACTCCCACCATAATGTGTCATTTATACTAATACCCTTGAATTAAACAACACTGCCTAGCACTCATTCTTCAAGAAACTTGACATTTTGTTTCAGTTGGAGAGCAGGAACATTCAAACACCTTCAAGTGTGCACTGATGTTTTCCAGTGTTTTTCATCCCCTAACCCCGATTTGTAGAGCGTGGATGATGGGACACCCGTATATACCAACCAGATCAGCTGAACAAGATGTCGTGGGCAATTCTAATTAAAGCTTTCGTGACTGCAGGGATTCATCTTCTTGGTTCTTTCGGTAAAGTCACGTAGAATGGAAATAATAAATATACAATAATTCTCAAGACGTTTCGGCCACAACGCAAGCAGCCGTCCTCAGGTGAAGAACAGGTCTGTCGAGAAGACAGAGTCTGACAGAGTCTGACTGTCTAGACTCTGTCTTCTCGACAGACCTGTTCTTCACCTGAGGACGGCTGCTTGCGTTGTGTCTTACTGTCAGACTCTTGTCTTCTCGACAGACCTGTTCTTCACCTGAGGACGGCTGCTTGCGTTGTGGCCGAAACGTCGTGAGAATTATTTTATGTTTTATTATTTTATTATTTACATTCTACGTGACTTTACCGAAAGAACCAAGATGTCGTGGGCAATTCAGCACATCCTTTTACCGTGAGGATCTGCGTCCACCAAGGCCAGGGTGGGGATGTGGAACGTGTCCCATAGCTTTCGTACTAGGAGTCGCGTGTTCAGGTCCGGGACGCCTTTTCCCTGGTTTCCGTAGAGAGCACATGGATTTACACTGGCTGCAGCAACAGTCATCATGCCATTGACCGGAGCAGGGAAGTGATTTCATTTTACGTAATAAAGGTTTTCAATCTCTATTTCCACTCATGGACATGCTAATTTCTCTAACCCCTACCTCCCCCCTCTCTCTATTTAAGGCCTCGACACAGAGGCGTATTTTCTCTTTGTGCCTGTTTGCTCTCTATGTATCTCTGCGATATGTCTGCTTATATGTCTGTCTATATGTTTCTGGTTCTGTTTTATCTCTCTCTCAAATTTAGCATTCTCAGGAAGAACGTAATCAACCAGATAGGGTGTTGACTGTTATGTTATCCGACTCTCTGTTGTATTACATTACAAGTATACTAGATTTGTGTTTCTATTTAATTTATACCTGATGACGATTGCTTGTGTTGCAATCGAAACGTCGTATGCTAGTATTTAATTTAATTTATTATTTTATCTTTATACGTGACTTTACCGAAACCAAAGAATAACTTAAGGTTAATGTTTAGATTTTCCATAATTATTTTCTTTCAGTGAGTGTGCCGTATTTGTGTGTGTTGGCTTTTATTATTGCTGCCACAATTGTAAGACTTGGTACCGTAACCATGATGCAAGGGTGGAATCTCTTGCAGAAGCCATCATCCAGGAGGTGCTGGAAGGTGGCATCCTTCTCCACAACAAGCACGAATCGTGCCTTTGTCGTCAGGTCTACGAGGCTCAGGAGGCAGGTTCGCGCTTACATTACGTGTGCATGTGTACATGCACGTGCATGTGTACATGCACACGCATGTGTGTGTATGCAAGTGCACACGTGTATGTGTGTGCGTGTGAAGTGCTCTCCAATACCAATGTCTATTTTTTTCATGGATATTTGAGCTGGATGCACCCATAAAGATTAATGAGTCTTAGGCTATTTGTGTGGGAAGGATGTCTTAATCGTCTCTGTAGTGTGTTAAGATATAATTAGAATATATTCCAGAAATGTATCCTTGTGGCCATATGGTGTAATGCCATTGTCAAGAAACTAAGTCGGCACCCCTGAAATATTCTGGATTCTTATGTTCGGATCTTAAGTCATAGGAGAAGTGTATGTTAGTTATTATTGTGCGTTAGTACAGTACTGCTAAGTTGCGGGCATGAGAGGACATGTTTGTACTCTTCTAAATCCATGATTTGCATAGTGTAGGGAGGCCTTCATTCAGCAGTGGATTGACAAAGGTGCTGTACTATTATTTAAAAAGGCCAAAGACGTACACAGCATGATGAAACAGGCAATCGTGTATTTGTAAGTCCAACATAATCTGTGCATTAAAGGATACTGTGCATTCCCTGCACATTATTAGACACCAGCATCCCCTGTAAACGGCACACAGTGACACGTTTCAACACTGGACCACCTTCACAATAAACAAAATCTGTGGTCGACATTGGCACTGCTGGTCTTGAAAATATTTATGTTGCCAATCGGTATCCCCTAAACCCTATTCCTAACTCCAACATTGCCCTTCCCCATGCATGCATTTTATGGTATGCCCAACCACATGCAAACTACCTTCACCTGTGAGCTCAAAACCCCACGATTGATTTCCCATCAGATCTCTCGCAAAGCAGTACAATCTTTGTGTGAGACAACAGCCCATGGTAGTGGATATGACAGTGCTTCCTCTAACATCCAGTTCAAGTAACTTCTGGTGGAAATAATAGGGGCAGCACTTTCTCACACACTCTTCCACCAAGAGTAATGGTTGTCGCTTGACAGTCAAACCAATTTTTCATAATCAACGTTTTTGGATTAGATCGCGTTATTTATAAATGTGTCGTAACCCTCCACCACCCGACACAGCCGGTGTGTTGTGGTTTCATGCTTCAACACACCGGTGGGCTAAAGCAGTGAACTATTTGTCTTTTGTCAACGTGACACTTTTTTTGCTGATTGGCCGTGTCAGGTGGTGGAGGGTTACGACACATAAATAACGCGATCTAACCCAAAAACGTTGATTATGAATAATATTTGTCGCGAAAGCCTACGTGTTAAACAAACCAATTTTGTTTTCAGAGCTGCAATTAAGCCAGTCATTGCAGAGGTGCCCGGGCTAAGACCAGCTTTAAATACCTGAGAACCTGGTTTATTCATAGGCAACCATCTGGATTTGGAAACAGGATCTCAGTAATGCTAGCTCAGAGTTCTGACCTCTGAGCCACCTCGTCAAAATCAACTCTGGTGGCAGCAGTGCTTTTTTTTAACACAACAGCATCTTCCACTGCAACCTCTATCAGTGAGACAATGAGAAAACAACCTCCAGTCTACTCTGCCTCCCATACATATGTGCGTACATTAGAACTGCAGGTGCAGGAGATCTTTGTTCCGTCCTCCTCGATGTAGCAAAGGTTGCCGGCTACACAGCCCTTGGAGGTGGACTGCTGCAATTGGACATTGAACAATCACAGTGAACCCATTTGGGCCACGTGTACATATGTTTGTATCGGATAAACAGTGGAATGTTTATGGTTACATGGCTTTTGATTGGAATATAAAAATTTTCATTTATTTTCCAACATTAAGACTAAAATTGCAAGTAATCTAGGATAAGAATATATATTGGATGAATGATAGAGCTAGGACCTTGATGAGTGATGGAAGTTATCCTTAAAGGTAGTTCCAACCCAAAACACAAATAGTTTTCATCTTGCACATATGTACCTAAGCTGTGAGTTGTAGGTGGTCCAGTATAAGTGTGAAGCTTTGTTCATGAGAAACAATTGCTTCAGAAATCAAATTTAGCTCTCTCGGGAAATCACTGTAGTGATATTTTTAAATGTAACGAGTACAACCGCTGGACATCATAAAAGTGTGCCTGGCTGATATTAAGTATTTTTTTCTTTTTAAGGAAGATTCAAACACATTTTAAACAGCCTGCGACATGCATCTTCGATGGGTAACTGCTAACACATGTAAATAATAGCTCTCCCCAGCAATTTTCTGAATTGTCACAATTCAGGATCAAGATTTAATTACATTTTTAGAATATATCAGTTTTACTATCTCATTTGTATTGTTTTTATGGTATTTTACTCCATTAATCGAAATGTAGAATTAACAACAATTTTTATATATTTTGCATACATTGTAAGTTATCATTTCTAACACGCACAATTCGACGAGTGTAAGAATGTATTTTAATCGAGTAAATGATGCATAGATGCCTGTCATGTATCTTTATTTTTTATTTGATAATGTATTTCACCTGGATAATCCCTTGAGATGAAACATCTCATTTGCAATGGTGTCCAGGGTATCAATTGCAACATAAGAGTGCTTTATTTTTTCGGGTTGTATTTAGCCGATGTTACCCCTTCCCCTCTCGTGCTGCTACTGTAGACCCTCTTACCACGTGCAGACAGTCCCGAGGGACCCTCAGCAGACAGGCGATGTTGTCCACAATATTGTTAACTATGGTCTGGCTTCTGAACACCGTGGGGTATTGGTAATAGATGTCTCTAAAATCATAACCAGACAAACATACACACAAAGGTACTTGCACACATTCTCGTTCATTTACAGTCATCTTTTTCGTCATGCATGGAAATATGCTTCAATGCGCACACATAGAAGCTTGGCTTACCTCTTAGTTGAGTTTTGGTTGGTCTGCACGAGATTGTAAATCATGTGCAGGACTTTCATAGTCATACCTAACACACGCATCGTATGGCATGGCAAAACAGTAGTAAGATACTTATGGTGCCACATCTACCAAGTGTATTGTATCATATGAGAGTGTGAAACGGAAATACAGTACAGCAACCCTGTATGCACTATGTTACTCTACACTGTTTCAGTTGGCTGGTCAACAAGACCCATATAAGCATTCATGTATATTTGGTCAGGAAATATTAATTATTGATCCCTTCATGTAATAAGTTACATGTCTTGTATTAGGTCATCTAAGAGCCTGTCACATGTACAGTATACCAAAGACGTCATGCTGGGTCTCTTTGACCCAGGGCTGCATTATATCATTAACTTTTGCAAAGACATTTGCGTATAGTTAAATTACAGGACATGTTTTTGAAATGGTGATACTCAAAGTAAGCCATTTGCTGTAAAGACATTGAAGACCCTTTAACATCATGCACAAGAGGTCATAGTGTGCGGTCCATAAGTACAAATTTTTATTTAAAAAAAAACAGCTGAATTGTAAATACATTTTATGGTGTGTATATATAAATATATTATTATATGGCTTCAGTTTATTTTGCTAGAGACAACAAATCTCAATGGGCTAAAAAAAGAAAACTGAAAAGGGGTGGATTGGATGAGAAATGTGCTTCTGAGTGCACTACTCACAAAAATTCAGCATGGAGCCTTGCATTGTGAACTTCTGCTCCCTTAACACCAGTTCAGGCAGCATTTGCAGCCCCACCTCCTTATTGAATCTGAAGACACTCGGCGAGTGAGGTGGTTCCTTCACATAAGCACATTGTTAACATGGGGTAATTTTACCATTTACAAATGGGACCCTTAGCAATTGTGTTGGTGGTTTTCTGTTCAGCATGAGGCAGTGCTCATCTCCAGTTCACAGCCGAGAGCCGGTGTTGGAAATTACATATTCCTATAGTCTGATGAGTATCAATATGACAACCCCTGTTGATTTTCCTCAAAGTGTGGGTTGCCGTGTAAAACAGCTCTAGGTATTTGGCATTCAACTATTCACCCTTCCAGTGAATTGATAAGATTTATGAACTGCATGTTTTATTTGATTCTCATTAACCTCGTTTTACAATATAATTTGCAGTGTTGTTTCTTACTAAATGTTACAGCATATAATTTCTCATACGGCATGTATCCTGAGGGTAAGAATCAATTTTAATCGATACATCGAAGCATTACATGCATATTAAGTACTGTATTAGTAGTAGGGTAGCAAGGCTGGAGTTCACTGATGAGTATTAATAACGATCAAACCAGTTAACCTGCCATGTGCTTTACTGCTGACTGAGCCAACTTGCAGGCCATTTTCTATCCCAATGTTTCTTTTACCCCTTTTCCACTGGCACATTTGAGCCAAGCTAGCCCCGGGTCCTCACGGTATAGTTGAGTTTCTGCTAGCTATTTGCCATGCCGAGCCAGAGCCAAGCCATAATACTCTATGCCGGTCTCACAAGATGTCCGAGTCTGGTTTGAGGTGGAATAAATGACATGATCATTGCATTTGATGTCAATGCACTGTGAAGAGACAAGTCACCACGTCTCCTACGTACATCTGAACTCGTTCATTGCATGCGATGTTCAATGGCACGGCTCGGCTGTTGTAAAGGAAAAACAATGCGGTACTTCCTGTGCATTGGAAAAGGAGGTATTATTGGCCACTGCGATTGCCAGAAAGCACCCTTTGAGGGCACGTTGACGTGCAGCTCACCGCACGGTGGCCCAGCTGTGCCGGTCGACACATGAGAGCGATGGTGCTTGCTTCCTAGCGATGGAGGCCAGCACCTTGCCTGCCACATCCTCAATAGCCCTCAGCACCTCCTCCCTGCAGACAAAACCTCATGTCAGTGGGCTCAGTCACCACAGCCAGATTGTAAATTGCCATTGAAAAATGTCGCAGTCTTATCCTTGATATTCATCGGATTTTATGGTTATAACATTATATTTTTTGTGCAATTAAACCACATTATTACATTCACACTGTGAATTTTTCCATATCTAACATTTCCATTGACATTTTCTGCATTTAAGAATCAGTTGGGCTGATCACCTTAAGAAAATTTATAAAATGGGTTTAACTTTTTTATATGGATAAAATATGATAAAAAATAAAATGGAGTTAAAATATTTACAGTACTTGTGTAATCATAGTATGAAAAATATATATTTAAATATACATCGTATAATCATAAATCTTCAACCATATAAAGGTGCGAAACTATACCAAATGTCATAAATTTGGCATTGGTAAAAAGTGCTTCATTTCAAAAAGAAATTAACCAGGTAAGTAAGATCTTGACTTAAGACTTTTGTGACTGCAGGAATTCATATTCATAACCAGGTAAGCTTATAAACTGAAAATATTATTTTGCTGTTTGCATCATTTGCAGAAAACCACAATGAGGGGAGAACACTGAAACTGATTTTTTTTCCAAATGTGAGATTTGCATTTCATGAACGAGAGGGATTTGAAGGGTATTTGATAAAAAAAAGTATACATAGGCTTTTTTGAGAGGTGAAATTTTGGTTTTCTCAAAACACATTCGTCAATAACACTGCCTTAAAAAGAAATGTAGGTAACATGGGCAGTGGCTATTCATCACAGCACAGAGAGGCCAAACGTAAAGTCACTATTCACTCTACCTCGCTGGCCTATTTTCAGGGAAGAATAATTATAATTGACTTATTTATCCAGGCCTCTTTTTCATGAGGGTCCTGCAGTCGGTTTTTATTTTAAGATATTTTCAGCCAATTTATGATGAGATGTTTATTATACAAGTGGGAGGAAACCGGAGCACTCAGAGAAAACCTACTCGTGTAAGGGAGCAACACTCTATCCCCGTACAGATGGAAACCGATGGTGATTAGTCAACTTATAGTACTGCCTTCGGATGAGCCAAGGTATGTGGCACCTTGACACCCACAGGATGGGAGTTTAACAAACCTCGCTTCCAGTTCTGGATTAGAGGCGTGCATAGCCACCACCACCTGGCTATTGCCTGAAACGTTGCCCAAGCTATATAGCCCTGTGAAAGAGCTATATTGAATGTGACGTCAATGGCATGGCTCAGTGGGCTTTACCTGGTAAAAAAAAAGATAGTTTTCATTTTATACATACTTTTCTTAAGGACAGTGTTATTGACGGATGTTGGGTTTATTGTGGTTATGCACCACACTGCCAACACAATAACAAATTATTTGTCGGATTTTCAGTACTTAGAATATACCTGTCAACCCATACGGTTTACTCGTATTCTTGTACAAGGAATTTGAGTTTTCAGGTCCATGCGGCGTACAGCCGTTGCAATACGGGCTATTTGTTTTGTCTATTTGTTTGTGTTTCTCCCTAGTGATGGGACTTTGTAGGATGAACGTTGATATTTAGAAGGGCACGGGTGACTAATAAGGTCTGTAATAAGGTAGGCACTGATAAGGGATTGACAGGTGTGTTAAATCTTGATTTGAAGTTTTCGTGACCGCAGGAATCCATACTCTTTGGTCCTCTCGGTAAAGTCACGTAGTTAGAAAAATAAATAATAAATCACGTTTCGATCGCACCACAAGCAATCGTCATCAGGTGGAAAGATACAGCAGTAGAACTGCTGAACAAGAAAGGGCTGCTGAAACAAGAGGTTATATATATATATAGGTTTGAGGTGGGTGTCACCCAAGGGCAGAGGTTGCAATCGGGTACCCGATACCCGTACCCTACCCGGCTACCCGTACCTGGCCGGGTACCCGTTTGCGACCCTGGTGCGGCCGGGTACGGGTAGGCCGTGAGTCACTGGTGAGTAACAGTTTGTCACTCATTCCCAACGTCTTGTCTCTTCTCACAATTCAAGTTCGTAGAATCAACCCACCCGCGCCTGCAACATGGCTTCATCCCAGAGGTCGCAATCGGGTACCCGATACCCGTACCCGCGGCCGGGTATTGGGTACGGGTAACCCGTACCCGGTACTCGGCTGGGTATGGGTAACCCGTACCCGGCTGGGTACGGGTACCTGTGTGCGACCCTGGTGCGGCCGGGTACGGGTAAGGAATCAAAACCCGTTTGCGACCTCTGCCCAAGGGTAAGTAGGCGGGGTCAGAGATGGAAAGGAGTCCCATCGCCGCACGCACCCACAACAGCTGCGTCAAAGGGAGAGATTGGCATGTCAATGTAAACGAGTGAGATTGGCATGTCAATGTAAACGTGTATAATGGATAATGAACACCGTAGTCGCACACGAGGACAGCAGCTGCGGCAACGGGGCTCATTTTCCATGAAACTCGTTTACATTACCGTACCAATCTCTCCCTTTAACGCCAAATTATCTAAAAGCATGTTTCAAAATGTTGAGGGAAAAACTGGAAATCAAGCTATATAAAGAGGCATTCGTAAACGTGTGTAATGACCAGAGGTGTGGACTCGAGTCATGTGACTTGGACTCGAGTCAGACTCGAGTCATGAATTTGATGACTTCAGACTCGACTTGGACTTGCATAACAATGACTTTGTCCCACCTCTGGCACTAATGACCCCCTCTCATCTCTCAATGTCATACAATGTCCTCGTCTTTCCGTTGTTTGGTCGAGTTTCTCACAATCCGCTACAACAACGTGAGAATGTTGAAGTAAAACGTTTGAGGGGGACATCGAGTCGCTAAATGTGAGGAAACCCATTTAAGCTTCCCATTATCCTATCTTCACCCATTCTAATTTTATAAACCTGGTTGTTGTTTATTTAAACACTTTGTGTGCAAGAGGGGTAGGTAGTGCGATGTGGTCTGGGGGGCCTTGAACAGCGACGTGAATCCTGTCCGAGCGACCTCGTTCCACTCACGGACCGTCCGAGGCGTCGGGTCGAGACGAACTTCGCCTGCGGAGTCGAGGACGAGGTGTTGACGACGTCGTGGACGAGCTGCTGCTGCTGCTGCGCGAGACGGAGCTCGTCCAGGGCCGCGAAGAAGCCGCCGCCGCCGCGACCCGCCGAGAGCGGCCGGAGGACGCCGGCTCCGTCTTCACGCGGGAGCCGCGGGGGCGTCGCCATTGCTCGTCGTGACGCTGCGGGGGGAATGGCCGCCGCTGTGTGGGGCGAGGGTGGGGGCTGGGGGGGAGGGTGGGGGCTGGGGGGAGGGTGGGGTGGGGGGTGAGGGTGGGGAGTGGGCTGGGGGGAGGGTGGGGGTGGGGGAGGCCTTGGGGGTGGGAGCTGGGGGGGGCTAGGGGGGATGGTGGGGGATGGAGGGTGGGGGCTGGGGGGAGGCTGGAGGTGGGGGGGGCCTTGAGGGTGGGGGCGTGGGGGGAGGGTGGGGGCGTGGGGGGTTGGGGGAGGCCTTGAGGGTGGGCGCGTGGGGGGGGGCTGGGGGCGTGGGGAGGCTGGGGGGGAGGCCTTGGGGCGTGGGGGGTGGGGGAGGCCTGGGGGATGGGGGCGTGGGAGGGGGGGGCTGGGGAGGAGGGTGGGGGTGGGGGGAGGCCTTGGGGGTGGGGGCGTGGGGGGGGAGCTGGGGGTGTGGGGGGGCTGGGTGGGGAGGGTGGGGGGGTGGGTGGAGGCCTGGGGGGGGGGGCGTGGGGGGGAAAGCTGGGGGGGTGAGGGGAGGCCTTGGGGGGCTGGGGGCGTGGGGGGGGGGCTGGGGGCGTGGGGGGGGGGGGGGCTGGGGCGTGGGGGGGCTGGGGGGAAAGTTGGGAAGGGTGGGGGGGGCGTGGGGGGGGCCTGGAGGGGAAAGCTGTAGAGGGGGTGGGGGCGTGTGGGAGGCCTTAAGAAAGCGCGGGAAAAGTGAAATCCGGCGTGAGACGTGAGGGGAAAAAATATATTTTGCGATATAATCGATATTTTATTTTAAATTCGATACTTCCGGAGAGACGCAATGCATGTGTGAATACGAGACGGTTCTTAATAATTAACGTCACGAAGGAGTCCTTTAAGAACCGCAGATTGCCAACCCCCTTAGCTTAAGACCGTGACACTTTAAAGTTATCGACATTAACCTTCAAATCTTTTCCATTGTATTGCTTATATAGTGGTGTAAACTAATAATGTGCCGTGCATGTAAAAGTTTAAACTACAAGGGTTTTTTTTATTAGTTTACAGTTAATGTGTATTACTGAAGAGTAATACACATTAACTGTAACAAAACAACATATTATTGGTTCTTTCGGTAAAGTCACGTAGAAGATAAATAATAAAATAAATATACAAATAGTAAAAATAATAAAAATAATACAAATATAAAAAGATAAAAAAAAGATAAAAATATAAAACAATAAAATTCTCACGAGGTTTCGACTGCTTGTGTTGCAGTCGAAACTGCGAGAATTATTTTTATTTTTTTTATTCTTTTTTATATTTTTATTATTTCTATCTACGTGACTTTACCGAAAGAACCAACAATATGAATCCCTGCAGTCACGAAAGCTTTACATCAAAAAGACAACAAACTTAACGCTTGCCTGCCACGAAGCGTGTTCAATGCACCAAGGTGAAAGAGTTAAGGTGGTTTTTTAAAGCCAAGGTGTGAAATTAGTGTGCATGAAAGGCACTCGATAGTACTTTTAAAGTACCGACATGTATAGGGTGCCACGTGGCGAGATGTTAACTACCTCGCCTGGTATACAGGAGGTTGTGGGTTAGATCACGACCCTGACGCCTGCTGCTGTATATTTGGAGTTGGCATGTGTTCTCCCTCCACATTTATAAACATGTATTTTAGATTTCGATTTAAAGCTTTCGTGACTGCAGGGATTCATCTTCTTGGTTCTTTCGGTAAAGTCACGTAGAAGGGAAGTAATAAAATAATAAAAAGAAAACATAATAAAATAAAATTATTTTATTTTATTATGTTTTATTTTTATTAATAAATAATAAAAAGAAAACATAATAAAATAAAATAATTTTATTTTTATTAATAATAAAAATAAAACATAATAAAAGAATTTTATTTTAATAATAAAAATAAAACATAATAAAATAAAATAATTTTATTTTATTTTAATAATATTTCTTTTTTTAAATTATTTTATTTTATTATGTTTTATTTTTATTATTTTATTACTTTCCTTCTACGTGACTTTACCGAAAGAACCAAGAAGATGTATTTTAGATTATTTGGCAGCTATACATTTGCACACGATAAACCACTTCGTTGAGCTATCATTTGTGGCCAGGTCGCTTCTGAAAAGGAGCTACATAACTCAGTGGGCCTTACCTGGTAAAGTAAAAAATTGTTTAGTAAAGGCAATACATTGTGAATTTAATGGTGTTTTAAAACAAAATTTTTAAAGCAACCACCATGTGAAATTAATAGTGTTCTCAAGGCGCTGTAATGTGAAACTAATGGTTTGTTTCTTATGGCCTGGCAGTACCCACAATTATCACTGTTCGGTATATTCTCGACACAAACACATTCCTGCGGAGGGAGCTGGTAGGAACGTTGGGTTGCTCGGTCAATGGCCAGGGTCAACGGCGGCGTGGTGTATTCCGCAAATATGCCCGACTGTGAGGGCGGGCACCAGCCGGCGTGAGTAGGTTAAACGTTGAGTTTTATAAGGGCACCACGGGGTGACCAGCCCCTCCCCACCCAGCCCCACCCCTCCCACCCCCACCCAGCCCCACCCTCCCCACCCAGCCCCTCCCCACCCTCTCCACCCAGCCCCTCCCCACCCAGCCCCACCCTCTCACCCAGCAACTCCCTACCCTCCCTCTCCACACAGCCCCACCCCTCCCATTTTTGGATGCACGACGAACGGACGGACACAATAATCCCCTGTGGGCTGGTGGAACCAGGAGGTTCCAACCAGTATTACCAAGCTGTGCAGACAGACATCTACTACATTGCCTTGTAGGTGGAGCGATGAGATGAGCTCATGTGCAGGAGCTACATCGTGAGTCCGTAAGGGATGGGGACAACTTGGGGAGGCCTTCATCCAGCAGTTCCTCCAGCATGGCTCTATGATGATGATTGCACTGATATATGTCCACTAATCTGGACCACACGCAGTTGCCTGCCTCTCACCACGTCAATAGCCTCACCCTTTACCCCTTTTCTGGCAGGTGTCCCGGTTTGGGTTGGCTGTGAATTCCCTTCGCCATCTCAGCACGGAGGAGGAGGTGGTTTCTGTTGCACGATCGCTCATCAAGAGCTGGAAAAAAACACCTGGGTGCGCATTGACGGAACAGTTTATTTTTTGTAATTTCTTAAATTTTCCCCCAATGGCGCTCTCAGCATCGGTTCACGACGTAAAATATCCTCTCTGATCTTTTATAATCCTCTGTGATGAGAATCGCTGACGGGAGCTGATACCACAGAGCTACATCTGAGAGTCCTCATGACCTCTGCCATCGGGTCTAATAGAGAGTAGCACTTTCCCACCCACTGACAGGCGTGAGTAATGTTCGTTGTGTGGTGTCAAAAGTGTATTTTAAATCTCAGAGCTGGCATTTAACCAAATGAATTGTAGAACCAAAGTGTCGATGTGCAGTGGAACATGTGTTGTGTGGTGTGTGTCCTGCACCTAGCCTGGCACAAGCGCTGTGGTGACATCACCGCCACTTTTTTCACGAATGGTGTCTGTTGTTGTGTCCTGCAGATGTTCATAGGAAGATGATACCTGAATCTTGTGTGACCCATGACCTTGGGGCTAGCATTCCTACATCATCCCGTGTGATCAAAACTCTGTGAGCTAGCGTGGTTCCCATGACTTTTAACCCTGACACATGCATTTGCATTGACATTTGTGACCTTGAACCCTGACTTGACTTTTAACCCTGACACATGCATTTGCATTGACATTTGTGACCTTGAACCCTGACTTGATGTGTAACAGACTCACAACGCTTAACCAGACTCATTGCTCATAACTCTTAAATTTGCATGCATTATTTAGTTATGCTCAGCTCTAATTGTTTAATTATTTATACAAGAATACCGCTGGTTCGGCTAAATAATGAAACAATTCAAGCCTCCTCCACGCAGTCTCTGCTGCCCCCTGGAACATATTGCTGAAGCGTGAGAGGGACGTGGAGCAAATTCCCCCATGGTTTTTACTGCACGACGGTGGAAAATAACAGTGTCCAAAATACTACTGTTGATGGTGAGTCTCAATGGGCTCTCATCTGGTGATGAAAAACTCCATAACTTTTTATGTTTGTGACAGTGTCAGAAAAACTGCGGGCAATAAATGCTCTACTCCTCCAGTCGCTGAGACGATGCATCCATGCGAGAGGCAGAGCAGCATCCGCATCAAGTGCAGGCAGGTGGTGGTGGCCGCGGTCAGTATTCAGGGTCAAATAGCAAGAAGAGACGTTTTTACATCATGGGACCTCCTCTGCCAGTACCAAAATATACCAATAGGGGTTTTCCCCTTTTTTTCTGGCAACAAAACTGACACCTTTTGCAAGGAATCATGTCTACATTAACCGCAATACTTGCAGTCAAATGCAAACAAATACACAATACTCTGGTAATTTATGCATTGTCCTTGAAACTGATTGGTCCACACCAGAGACAGCTTTCTTTGGAGCCTCGTCTCATATGGTGTTCGACCAGATGACGCCAAAAGGCGCACAGTTCAAGACAACGCACTACCAGAGTAATACTCTGTTTCAAAGACAATGCATAAATTACCAGAGTATTGTGTTTTTGTTTGCATTTGACTGCAAGTATTGTGGTTAATGTAGACATGATTCCTTGCAAAAGGTGTCAGTTTTGTTGCCAGAAATAGGGGGAAAACCTTATTGGTAAGAAACGTTTTTGTCGAATTCGGTACAAAACTCAATATTTTAAGAGCCGCATTGCATATGAATACTTACATTATGTCACGAAGCAGTCCGTAAAAAGCCGCATGTGTATAGTGGCCTCATATGACGACGGAGAAGGTTGATGGAGGCAACACGTATTTATTACAGATAACTTCAATACAGCAGAGTAGCGACCCTGACACTCGAAGAGGTAACGGGCCTCTTCACCCGTTCTTATCGGGGGAAGTGTTCACCAGCTAACGCCCCACGTCAACTCCCTACTTCCCCTACTTTAGACCTTCCTCCTGAGGAGGCTAGCTAACCCGGCCCAGCTTCGGCACAGGTCCCGACCACCAGCCACACC